TAAAAAAAAAAAAAAGAATATCACATCCTGAAGCAGATACTCCCCCTCATTAGTCATGGTACTTTTCATCACATAGTCAAAGTATTGTTCAGATACTAGGTAAAATATCCAGGTATACATAAAATATTATCTATATAGTATTGTTTCTACACTATATAGATAATATTTTTCCTCTTGCAACTAATAGGCAATATATAAGATAATCAAAGGCTATCACATATCTTGATCCTCATCAGGCTTTCTGATCTAGATTTAGCGTCCACTGATGATTCTTACCTGAACAAATCTTTTTTTTTAAAGTATTTTATTGAAGTCATGATGGTTTATAACATTGTATAGTTTCAAGTATACATTATTATATATCAGTTTCTGTATAGTCTACACCATGCTCACCACCAATAGTCTAGTTTTTATTGGTGCCTGTTTACCCCCTTCGCCCGCCCCCACTCTCTTCCCCTCTGGTAATCACTAATCTCTTCTCTTTATCCATGCGTTTGTTTATCTTCCACATATAAGTGAAATCATCTGGTGTTTGTCTTTCTCTGTCTGGCTTATTTCACTTAACGTAATACCCTCAAGGTCCATCCATGTTGTTGCAAATGGGACAATTTTGTCTTTTTTTATGGCTGAGTAGTATTCCATTGTGTATATATATACCACATATTCTTTATCCGTTCATCAGTTGATGGGCACTTGGGTTGCTTCCATGTCTTGGCTATTGTGAATAATGCTGCAGTGAACATAGGGGTGCAGAGATCTCTTTGTACTATTGATTTACTGTTCTTTGGATAAATACCCAGTAGTGGGATAGCGAGATCATATGGTATTTCTATTTTTAGTTTTTTGAGAAGTCTCTGTATTGTTTTCCATAGTGGCTGCACCAGTTTGCATTCCCACCAGCAGTGTATGAGGGTTCCCTTTTCTCCACATCCTCTCCAACACTTATTATTTCTCGTCTTGTGCCCGTCTTCCTCTATTTTACATGGGACACTGTGCCTGTCTTCCTCTATTTTATATGGGACGCTGCCACAGCATGTCTTGACAAGTGGTGCGTCAGTGTGCGCCCGGGATCTGAACCTGCGAACCCCAGGCTGCCGAAGCGGAGCATGCACACTTAACCTCTTATGCCACCAGGCCGGCCCCTCTCTATCACTTTTGAAGGACAGTTTTGCCGGATATAGCGTTCTTGGTTTAAGTTTTTTTCTTTTAACACTTTGAATATATTGGCTCCTCTGTCTTCTGGCCTCAAAGTTTCTGATGAGAAATCTGCAGATAATCTTATTGAGGATCCCTTTTTAGGTGATGATTCACTTCTGTCTTGCTGCTTCCAAGATTCTCTCTTTGTATTTGGCCTTTGAAAGTTTGATTATAACATGTCTTGGTGTGAGTCTTTTTGAGTTCATCTTACTTGGAGTTCCTTGAGTTCCTTGGATGTTTATATTCATATCTTTCATCAAATTTGGGAAATTTTTGGTCATTTTTTCCTCACATATTCTCTCTGCCCCTTTCTCTCTCTCTTCTTCTTCTGAGACTCCAACAATGTGTGTGTGGATTTTCTTAGTGGTATCCCACAGGTTCCTTAGGCTCTGTTCACTTTTTTTCAGTGTTTTTGCTTTCTATTCCTCTACAGTTTCCATTGTCCTATCTTCAAGTCTGTTGAGTCTTTCTCCTGCCTGCTCAAATCTGCCTTTGAATCCCTGGAGTGAATTTTTGATTTCGGTTATTATTCTTTTCAGCACTGGAATTTTTCTTGGATTTCTTTTTTAGGTTTTCTATCTCTATTATTCTCTTTTGTTCATACATAATTTTCTTGACTTTATGTCTTCCTTTAGTTCTCTGAACGTCTTGAAGACAGTTGTTTTGAAGTCTTTGTCTAGTGGATCTGCCATCAGGTCTTTTACAGGAACAGTTTCTGGTGCTTTCTTTTTCCTTTTGAATGGGCCATACTTTCCTATTTCTTTGTAGGCTTTGTGATTTTTTTTTTTTGTTGAAAGTTGGACATTTGAAACTAATACTATGGCAACTCTGAATATCAGATTCTCTCCCTTCCCTAGAGTTTGCTGTTTTGGTTATTGTTTTGGTTTTTTGATCTGTGCTGAGGATCAGCCTGAGGTATAAACTTGAATGTCTTTTTAGGTCTCTTCTGAGCCTTTTCTTGGGCATGTGCAGTCACTTTGGAGTTTCCTCTTTATATGCAGTTGTTTTGAATGTCTTAGGTTTTAATGTCTGGCTCCTCAAATGGGAAAATGAGTAAAATGATGAGGGGGAGCGGGAGCGATACCGGTCCTTTAAATTCCCTAGAAGTCACTTTAGCTGGAGGGAGAGGGGCTTTGAACAGTTGAGGAGGTGCAACAACAGTAGCTGCCCACCTCTTTGCACCTGTTATCAGAAGCAGCACTCAGCGGTCAGAATACAGATCCCTCTATTTGGAGGATAGAGTCCTTTTCCCCACCCTGGCTCCCACAAGCTAAGTGCAAGCTGTTCTAGGAGCACATGCTAGTGGCTGGGGAGTGGGGGAAAGATCTAAAATTAAATACATTAGGGCCGGCTCCGTGGCTTAGCGGTTAAGTGCGCGCGCTCTGATGCTGGCGGCCCGGGTTCAGATCCCGGGCACCCCCCAAGGCACCACTTCTCCGTCCAACCCGAGGCCGAGTCCCACGTATAGCAACTAGAAGGAGGCAAACCTATGACATACAACTATCTACTGGGGCTTTGGGGGGAAAAAATGAATAAATAAAATCTTTAAATACATTAAATGCTCATCGTCTGTTCTTTTGCCAGTTTCCCCACTCATCTCTTGATTATGTGAAACTCATCCTCTAGTAGATTTTTTAGGACGTGGATTTGTGTCCATATTCTCTAAGTTCTTAGAGTTCAGTCTTTTATAGCTTTGATATTTGAAGGATAGCTTGGCTGGATATAAACTCCTTTGCTTACCCTTTTCTTTCTTTGTTTCTTGAAAATGCTTCTCCACTGTTGCCTTGCTTTGTATATTGCTTATTAATTCTGATGACAATCTAATTCTCTGTGTAATTTATTTATTTTCTTACATGGGGGCTGTAAAGATTTTTTTCTTTAGCTTTAAATTTATTCATTATGCTGTGATATGTCTCAGACTTGATCTGGGTCAGGTTTCCCAGGTATTTGGTGGGTTCTTTCAGTGTATTGATTTATGTCTTTTTTTTAGTTCTGGAAAGTTTTCCTTTGATAGTAGTTCTTTTTTTTTTTTTTTTTTGGTGAGGAAGATTGGCTCTGAGTTAACGTCTGTTGCCAGTCTTCCTCTTTTTGCTTGAGGAAGATTGTCGCTGAGTTAACATCTGTGCCAGTCTTCCTCTACCTTGCATGTGGGATGCCGCCACAGCATGGCCTGATGAGCGGTGTGTGGGTCCATGCCCAGGATCCAAAACCACGAACCCTGGGCCATCAAGGCGGAGCGTGCGAACTTAACCACTAAGCTACTGCGCCAGCCCCACTTTGGTAGTAGTTTTAAATATTTCTCCCCCAGGAACTTCAAGTATATGTATGTTGGATCTTTGTCTTCTTTCCATATCAACACTTGATTTTAGATCCTTCTTAATTTCTTTTTTTAAGTTTCCGTCTCTTGTTTCTTTTCTTGCATTTCTTCCCCTTACTAAATTTTTATTCAAATCTATCCCTCTTTGCAACTTAGTTTTTATATTTGATGTGATTTTGTCTTTTTTGAGTTTAATCACTCCTTGTTTCATCTTTTTGTTGAAGGTATTTTTTTATATCCCAAAATGCTTATTGAAAATATTTAATTCATTTTATTTTTTATAATTTTATTTTATTTATTTTTTTTTGTGAGGAAGATCAGCCCTGAGCTAACATCTGATGCCAATCCTCCCCTTTTTTTCTGGGGAAGACTGGCCCTGAGCTAACATCCATGCCCATCTTCCTCTACTTTATATGGGACACACATGGCTCGACAAGCAATGCGTCAGTGCGCACCCGGGATCCAAACTGACAAACCCTGGGCCGCCGCAGCAGAGCGCACACACTTAACTGCTTGTGCCACCGGGCCGGCCCCATTTAATTCATTTTAAAGTACTGTGTTACAGTTTTCTTCTGATTTATTGTTGGTTTATAGGAAGAATTTTTCTCAGCTGAAATGTGTAGATTTGCTTTTTTGAAATTTCTTATAGTAGCTTTGTATGGAATTGGTTTGTATCTTTTTATTTCTTGGCATTTAACTGACAGGGTTCCTAATTCAAAAGCACTCATCAATTTAGTTATGGGAGGTTTCTTTAATGGATGATGGTTGATGTTACTGGTCAGGGTGGAGTGGAAAAGGGGTTTTTCTTTTCATTTTGCAAGATCTTATATTTTTGCCCTTTATTTTCTTCTTTTCCTTCACTTGCCAGGAATGCTGAAAACTGGTCAGATCTCGTTTTATTTACATTTCCTTGTTGATTTTTATGGTTTGGATCAGGAGGGTACCATTATCTTCCAGACTCAAAGTCTGTACATAGACTTTGAGATTATTACTTCAGTGGTAGCAGGGAAGAATTATATTAATATTAAATGAATGATAAACAGAATAATACTACTACTAGAAAAGGTCAACTCCTTTTTCATTTTAGTTATTTTATGTGGCCTTTTTCCTATCTTTTATTATCTCATTTATCCTGTATGAGTACTTAGAAGATAAATACATTTATTGTTATTGGTTGTTTAAAAATTAACATGTTTTCTGTTATTCAGTTGTGGTCTTAACTGCAATATAGTTGTAGAGACATGGTATTTGAATTTGCTTCCACCACTTAACTGGTTGGTTACTTTGCCTCTCTGGACCCATTGTAAAAATGAGGTTGAGGAGAACATTTACCTGTTAGAATTATGATTGAATGAGAACAACTTTGTAAAGCACCTGAAACCTTTAATTGAACACCTGTTAATATTTCAAACACTTAAGGCCCCTAAAAGCCTGTGCTCAAAGATGAATGGTGAAACCTATTGGTAACAATATCTTTGTTTTTTAGGTTGCTGGAGGAGTCAACATGAGACAGATTTCAGAAGCACTGAGCCGATACAGGAATAGGTCATGTTTTATGAAGGAGGCCCTCTACAGGCTATTCACAGAGACATTTTCTATGCAGGTAACCATGCCTGCAGTTTTAAAGGTAATTACACCTCAAAAGGTAGTTTTTATTATTACTTTCTTACTTGGTTCAATTACAGTTGTTCACCGAACACACCGAATACAGTAACTTACATGCCTTATTCTACACCGAGTCAAAGTGTCCTCATAAAGAAAGGAAAACAGTGTTAGTTAGGCTTAACTGCTAGTTCATCTCTTGTTGTGAGCATCTGAATCAATTTGAATCATCCGATTATTTGAATTTGGTCTGAGAAGGGGATAATAGGACCCTTTCACTATTTTGCCTAAAACAGGACTTAGTAATCTATAAACATGAAATCACTTTGCCCTAAATGTTGTTTCTTGTTTATTCATTCATTTACTCTTTTTAAAATTTAACATCTGGTTTTCTGAAAGAAAACAACAATAGTGTCCATAACAAGAACAGAACAAAATAGCAATAATTGAAGGTGGCCAAATCTACCCTATAAAGTATTTTGTGAATAAAGTAAAATTACCAGTATTGATAAGGCCAGACTTTGCTTTGGTTTATGGAAGGATGAATTTATTTTAACTGTATTGGAAGTATTAAGTGGTTTGGGGAAAAAAGCTATGATTGTATAAAATTAAATATAACATGAAAATGAAGAGTCTTAAAGTCACCTTGTCTTTATTATTTGTAATTCTTTGCAGTTCCTTAAAAATATGGCTATTTCTGCACCATGGGAGATTAGATTTATTCATAACTGAAATACTGTATAAAGAAAAAACTCTGGACCTTTCTTTCCCATCTGTAATGAGGAGATTGAATTAGATGTTCTGAAAAATCCTTTTCATAACTAAGATTTTGTGTTTTTTGAAAATCATCTTTGTTTTGGTTTCGGCATTTTAAATTGCAGATTATGGTGCAGTTTAGCAATATAGGAAAAAATCATTTTCCATGGGAGAAGTATATCTCAGGTCTTTCTTTAGGCTCCATGAGTTCATGCAGCTGTCAGAGGGGCTCTGGTCTCTTAAAATCATGGCTCATGCAAGTATTAGCCGACTGGTCTCTGAGGTTGGTAAGGATGATTACCCCTATTTGATAGATGGAACAAATCACATTGTCCCTTAGCGTTAGAGGAGGTGTGGTCTTAGCTAATCTGATACCTTCATTTTACATTTGTGTTCTGGGTCTTCCACAGTCTGTCTTCTAATTACTTTTCTAATGTTATTTTCTATCCCTTTTTAAATTCTTTCAAATTCAAATTTTTTCTTCCTCTTTGGGTGGATTTATCCCATCCTTTTGTCCACCTTGTGTTTTTCCTTATCACATTTCCCTTCCCTAGGAATCCCTTCTTCATTCCACCTCCACCTCCACCCCCTCTGTCTATATCCTGTGTGAGACCCTGCCTAAATGTGCTCTCTGAATGAAGCCTTTTGATTCCATACCAGAAATGATTGCTCCCTCCATAACTACCTATAAATAAAGGCAGCACTTTACCTCTTTTATGGTGCTTCTTTTCATTTTCATGTTTTGACATCCCTCACAATGTTATTTGTTTACATACGTTATTTCTCTCACAAGGTTTTATGCTAAGGAATAGGGTATAAGTGACTCATGTTCGTGTCCTCTGCAGTGCTTATCACAATGCCTTGTATGGAGTCAGGCTCACTAAATGATTTTGAAATCACAGATGAGGAAATGGAGGTCCAAAGAAGGGAAGTGACTAACCTAGTCAGACAGCTAGTTAATGGCTGCATTTGGATTGGAAGGTATTGCTGATGTCCTAAAAAAATATATGCTGAGGATAAGGAAAATCTTCTATTTTCTCACCCAGAGAAAATATTTTTGCTAACTAACACAAAAATAAGATGGTGTAAAGAATGCTAATGTCATCATATGCCACTAAAAACAAGTTCATCTTCAGCTTGTGGCTGTAGGAATGAGGAATCATCCATTGGATTTGCCAGTGCAGTTCACAGCCAGTGCTTGCGCCCTCAACTTAACACGCCAGGGCCTGGCCAGGGGGATGCCTGTTCGCCTGTTGTCAGAGGTCACCTGTCTACTTTTCAAGGCTCTGAAAAATTTCCCCCATTATCAGCAGGTAATTTGAATTGAATACTTGACTATGCTTTTTACTTCAGGACAAATATATGAAAAATATGTATTATTTAGTTCTGATTTTTCATCCTACCTGAGAGAGAAAAAGAGAACGAGAGAGAGAATAGATAAAGAATTCATGTTTGTTGTGGAAAAAATAGGAAATATGGATAAGCAATAGGGTATAAATTTTTTAAGTTTCTCAGAAGCCAGTTACCCAGAAACACCTACTGTTAACACTTTGGTACATCCTTATAGTCTTAACATCGTATGTGAAAATTGAATTGATCATAGTTCTAAATATAAAAGCTAAATCCATAAAACTTTTAGAATAAACATAGAAAAAATATTTGTGATCTCCAAGTAGGCAAAGTTTCCTTAGGATACAAAAAGTACATGTCATCAAAGAAAAATAATAAATTCATCAACATTAAAATGTCCGCTCACACACACACATACACAAAAACATTAAAAAATGAAAAGGTAAGCCATGGGCTTGGAAAAATGTTCATTTTATATATGTGACAAAGGACTTTTATCGAGACTATAAAGAACTCTTAACTCAGTAACACAAGACAAACCAATTTTTTTAAAAGGCAAAAGATTTGAACAGACATTTCACCAAAGAAAACATGCAGATGACAAGTAAGCACATCACAAGATGCTCAGTATCTTTAGTCATGAGGGAAATGCAAGTTAAAATCACAGTGAGATACCACTGCACACCTGGATACCACTACACACCCCCTAGATTGGTTGAAATTAAAAGACTGACAATACCAAGTGTTGACAAGGATGTGGAGCAATTGAAATTCTCATATGTTGATGTTGAGAATGTAAAATGATACAACCACCAGTTCAACAGTTTAGTAGTTTTAAAGAAACTTAAAGTTTCTTAAAGTTAGACATAAACCTTCGGGTACTGCCCAATCATTCTGATCCTAGAGAAATGAAATCATATATCCATATAAAGACTTATATATGAATGTTCATAATATCTTTATTCATAATGCCCCCAAACTGAAAACTTTCCAAAAGTCCAACAATAGGTGAATAGATAAATTGGTATGTTCATATAAGAAAATACTATTGGTAATAAAAGGAATGAAGTACTGATAGAAGCAACCTGGATGAATCTCAAAAACATTATATGCTGAGCAAAATAAGCCAGACACAAAAGAGTACATACTATATGATTCCATTTATGTAAAACTTTAGAAAAGACTAATCTATGATGACAGTGTAATTTTCTGGGGCTGGAGTTGCAAGGTCAGGATTGACTGTAAGGGGCACAGTAGAACTCTTTGGGGTGATGGAAATATTTTTTATCTTGATTGTGCTGATGGTGGTGGTAGTTTTTATACAACTATAAATTTGTCAAATCTGATTGAAGTGTGTACTTACAATGAAAATTGATTTTTAAAAATACAATAAGGAAGGGGCCAGCCCTGTGGCCTAGTGGTTAAGTTTGGTGTCCTGTGCTGCGGCAGGCCGGGTTCATGAGTTCAGATCCCGGGTGCAGACCTATATCACTCATCAGCCACGCTGTGGTGGCAACCCACATACAAAATAGAGGAAGACTGGCACAGATGTTAGCTCAGGGCTAATCTTCCTCAAGCAAAAACAAAGGAAGATTGGCAATGGGTATCAGCTCAGGGTGAATCTTCCTCAGGAAAAAACGAACAAACAAACAAACCAATAAGGAAGGTGATCTTTCCTCATCAAAAAAAAATTATATTTCCACTTTCTCTTGAAAAGTTGGAAGATCATTCTCAGTTCAGTCTTAATACCTGCATGGCAATCATCAGTTGGAGCTGAGTAATAACTCCTCCTATAAAAGGGCATGAATTCTTCAGTTTGCCATACTTCCTACTTCTCTCCTATTGTTTCACACTCAGCTCTCTTCACTTGTTTATGTTACCGCATAGTTCCTGTTGGCATTTGCTGCCCCTGGCCCATGCACTATACTTCTGTCATACTGGCTTACTCATAGCCTTTCAAAGAGAGATTTTTCTATTCCTATAGCTTTCCCGGGAGGCCTTCTCTCTTTCTTTCTTATCTGTAAAGGTCCTGTTCAACCCCTACCAATCTTAGGTAGAATGTAGAGGAAGCTCTGTCACAGAGTTAGTTATGAGATATCTGGTAAGGACATTTGTCTTTCAGTATATGGGCCAGGCTTCAGGTAATTGATTTGGACTGACACACAGGCAGGCTCTCTCCATGTAGATCCTTCTAGGGTTCAGGAGGAAGAGACCTCCTCTTTGCCAAGAAAGGGGAAGATTATTCTTTAGGCAGAGGTGAATGAGACAAAGTTTATTAATAAGATTAAGTGGAGAACTTGGAGAGGGCCAGGTACACAGTGAGCTTTCAATAAGAAAAGTTTGTTGGTAGCACCTTCCAAATGCTTAGAACTTTTATTTAGAATGGAGTATACATTTGCTCAAAATTATTTTTCTTTATCCTCTTAAAGTTACAGAAGAATTGTCTTCTCTCCTTAACCAATTCCAGGATTCTTGTGGATGTCCCATTTGACAGGCAAGTATAAAACTTGGTCATCTGGTTTTGGGGTGTTGACCAGTGTTACTCTGAGCATTGTTGGTGTTTGGTTATTAGCTTAACAAGGGTTTGATTAAGGCTGGGATAAGGTATTTGGGGAGAAGGCTGTGTTGAGCCTCTTCCACAGACGTGATTGGAAGTACCCTACTTGCAAATGTTGTCTCCCAAAGTGTGATTCTAGTTCAGGGCAGTGGGTGGTAAGAACATGGGCTCCAGAGTCAAACATACTTGGATTCAAGTTCTAGCCCTTACATTACCTTTGTGCATGTTTCCTTATTTGTAAAATAGTAACTCTTGTGAGGATTAGGTATGATAATGTTTGTAAAGTACTTATCACAGTGCCCAGCTTAAGAAGTACAGGCTGTTCTAAACATTCTTCATTCTTTTTGTTATTATTTCATTGATAATAATTTAAAAAAAATCATTATCCTAGACTCCAGAGGGATTCCTCTTAGAGGCCTTTGTAATCTCCCATATTCATGAGTTCAAAAACATTTATAATAGTTGCTTCTGACAGCAGGAAGATGAAGCACAGGTCGACATGAACAAAGCCTATGATTTGTGGGTGCAGGGTTGTAGACTAAGCCATTCTCAAATCCAATTAAAATGTGTATTTAAAATGGGAGTTGACTTTTAAAAATACAATAGGGAAGGTGGTCTTCCTCATTTAAAAAAAGTCTGTATTTCCACCTTCTCTTGAAAAGTTGGAAGATCTTTCTCAACTCAGTCTTCCTTTCTGCATAGCAGTCAATCAGTTGGAGCTGAGTAACAACTGCCCCTATAAAAGAGCATAAATTCTTTCTAGCTAAGTGATTTGTTTGCTGTGGCATTTTAGCACTATCGACAGTTCAGATTACAAATTACCTCTCAGGGAACTTCTTTCCTTTTTCAGACCCATCATAGTAGAAACTGAATGCTAAAAAAAATAAGTCTTTCTTAGATCTGTCCATCTTTCTTTGAATCCTGCTCATTGTGCTCACATTTGCATGCTGCCCTCTTCCTCTTCTGATCTTCTCTTCCTTTTGCCAAATGCTCTTGGTTTTCGTAGCTGAGACTTTAGAAGTCCAAGACTAGTTTTGTTACAGGATTTGTTGGGGAGGCTAAGTGACTTCTCTCCTCATGTACAATTTCACGAACTTCATTGTGAGAAAAGTACTGCTTTTCAGGTTCGATGCTGCCAAGTTTGTTATGAGATGGCTCTGTAAGCATGAAAACCCCAAAATGCAAACGATGGCAGTGAGCATCACTTCGATTCTAGCCCTGCAGGTATGTGATTGCTAAAGGCAAGATTTCTCTCTCCCTGGTCTTGATGGAGGTCTAATATTTCACTCTCGGCTTTTTGTTTGCTTATAGCTCTCACCTGAGCAAACTGCACAACTTCAAGAAGAGCTCTTTATGGCAGTGAAAGTAGGTTGACTGTCACTTTTATAACCTTTTTCCTCCATAAAAGTAAGTTATGACCATAGTTAAAAAAAATCAAATCATTCTAAAAGGCCTATAAAATGAAAAATCTGTAAGACCTGCTCCCTAGAAGGAACTATATTCTAATCTTACAGCTATTTCTTTTGGTATTTACCTTCACATCTCTAAATAAAATGCTTATAATTGCGATTTCTTAATTTATCCGTTTTAGATGTTATCTGTTGATTCTGCTGCTATGGTAAATAAGAACCCAGCTGTCCTACATGTATCTCTACAAACTACCTCCTTCTCCAACCCCCAACAGGTTCTCACAACTTTTGATAAATCAGTAATCAGTATTTACAATGTGATTATGCTAACATTGCTCACTAAAAAATGTACATCGTTCTATTTTGCACTTCTCTTATTTTGAGATGAGACTTAAGCCATCCTTTTTTTTGTTTTTTGTGAGGAAGATCAGCTCTGAGCTAACATCCAATGCCAATTCTCCTCTTTTTGCTGAGGAAGACTGGCCCTGGGCTAACATCCGTGCCCATCTTCCTCTACTTTATATGGGACGCCACCACAGCATGACTTGACAAGCGGTGCATGGTGCGCACCTGGGATCCAAACCCGGACCACCAGCAGTGGAGTGTGCGCACTTAACCACTATGCCCCGGGCCGGCCTGGAAATGAGCCTTTGACTATGATATGAGATACATGTATTTTTCCTCAGTCGTGTTTTTTTACTTTATTTATGGACTGTTTTGCCATGCAATAATTTTTTATTTTTATGTGGTTCAATTTATTCTTTTCTTTTGTGCCTCTGGGATTGATGGCACACTTTGAAAGTATTTCCCTACTCCATGGGGTATTTTTTTAAATTCCTCATTTTTTTTTTACCTATGGTTTCCTTTTTCTTTCTTTTAACATGTAAATATTTGATTTACTTGGGATTTTTTTTTTGTGGTTTAGGGATCTTTTGTCTCCTCATATGTCTGCCCAGTTGCCTCTGAGCTGTTATTGAATGGTTTATCTTTTCTCCACTGTTATGCATTGCCACATTTATCATATATTAAATTCACATATATATTTGCATCTATGGCCTTTATTCCCTTAATTTGTATGTCTATTTACATCTGATATCACACTTTTTATTTATTGGCTTTATGAATCCTTTAATAGTTAAGATCTTTCCTTGGATTTCTTTCAGTTTTTTTTTCTTTTTTTTTTGGTGAGGAGGATCGGCCCTGAGCTAACATCTGCCAATCCTCCTCTTTTTGCTGAGGAAGACTGGCCCTGGGCTAACATCCATGCCCATCTTCCTCCACTTTATATGGGACACCGCCACAGTATGGCTTGCCAAGCGGTGCGTCAGTGCACGCCTGGGATCCGAACTGGCGAACCCCGGGCTGCTGCAGTGGAGCGTGCGCACTTAACCACTTGCACCACCAGGCCGACCCCTTCTTTCAGTTTTTTTATGTTTGTTTTTCCTGTGTAAACACCAGAATTGGCTTGTCTAGTTTTCTGGACAAAGAAGCCCTGTTTTCTTTGGGATTGTGTTAAATTTATAGATTGACTTAGAAGAATTGACAGCTCTGTAATGTTGATTCTTCCTTTCTGAGAACAGTGTATGTTTATTATTTATTCCATTTATTCAGTCCTTCGTGTCCCCCAGAAGTATGTGGGTGTTTTCTTCATGTTGATATTGTATACTTCTTACATTTATTCTTAAGGCTTTTTACCTTTTGCCTTGCAGTTATAAGCAGAATGAGTATTTGATATCTAGTGAGTAGGTTTGGGGGATAAAAATCAAGAGTGATTTTGGACGTGTTCATTTCTGAGATGCTTGAGATGTCACGTAGGCAGTTTGATATCAGAGGAGTGGATAGGGCTAGAGAAATAATTTGAGTCCCTAGTTCTGATGTGGGATGCAATCACCTAGAAAATGTGGAGTATATAGAAAGAAAAGAAAAGGGCTGAAATAGGTACATAGGAAGAGAAAGAGGAGCCAGAAAAAGAGATAGGGAAGGAGCATCCAAAAGGAATTAGAAAACCAAGAGAGAGTGGTGTCTTAGAATCTAAGAGAAATGTTTTAATATAAATTGGGCAGTCATGTCAGATGCTATTGGGTGGTTGAGTGAGATGAGGATAGAGAGTTAACCATGGGATTTGGCAAGATGGAAATCATTCATCATCTTATGTTATTTTAGTGGAGTAGTGGGACAAAACCTGGTTGGAGTACAATGATGAGCAAATGGGAGGTGAGAAATGGAGATAACTTTTTGGTATATTTTAATAAGTAAGAAAGCAAAGAAATAAAGATACTATGTGGGGCCAGTAGTTTATTTTTTCAAGATAGATTACATTAAGATGTATTTTATGCTCATGAAAATAATTCTGAAAAGAGGGAAAAATTTATGGCAATAGGCAAGACAGAGGGAAATAATTTTGGTGCCAAATCTTTGTGTGTGTACAGGAATTGTATATGGAGTAGAAGTAAAGATGTTGGCTTTTGATTGGAGCAGAAAGGAAGGCAGAGTACAATGATGCAAGTGCAAGTAGGTTGGTAGATATTTTTAGGAAGAATAGCTATAGTTCTCAGTGAAAAGTTAGATGAAGTGATCAAATGAGAGGAGTAAAAAGATGGCAATTAAAGTTTGAGGAGAGAGAATTCTGAAATAGTAGTCTCTGGAGAAAATTTATCGAGCAATATAGTAGGACTGCCAAGTACAGTTGAATGCCCTTTTGAAATTTTTTGGCAGATATTGAAAGTGAGACTCAAGCACAAGACAGAGTCCTTTTCAGTATTCAGATGTTTGGGGGTGGGTCATGAAGTAGGGTTTAACTAAGGCAGGAGTTTTGCCAAGATAATGTGTTGAAGGAACATTGAGGTTGCTGGGAATGTTAACAGGAATACATGTAGAGATAGAGATATTGATATTGATATAGAGAGCAAGTATTGAAAATAACATGGAGGGAAGAGTAGCACTGTAGTTCTTGGAGAAACAGTTTTAGGTGGTGGTACCAAAAGTTCAGGCTTTAGATTAAAACAAACCAGGTTCAACCACTAGCCGTAAGACCTTAGATAATTGACTTAACTCCTCTGTGCCTCAGATTCTTCATCTGAAAAACTGGCATCACCTGAAAAACAGACATCTGTCATAGGAGTAATATTTGGCAATTATTTTGAGTGTCATTAAGATAAAATAGGTAAAGCATCTAACCTGGCCCTGGCCAGAGTGGTTGTTACTTTCAGGGTCTGCCTCACCTCCTCTGCTTCCTCCCTTGCCTTGCCGCCGTTCACCCTATTGGCTGTCTAGATGATTGCTACCTGTGTTGTGTACCACTCTTATATTCTCCTTTTGACTCTCACAGCTATATTTTTGTGATGATATTTTGTGATGTATCTCTTGATACATTTTCTCTTGGTTGGGTAAAATATTTGAGGTCATCTCATTCCTCGTGAAGCCCACCCTTGTGGTCTAGTGGTTAAGATTGGGTGCTCTCATCACCGTGGTCTAGGTTCATTTCTCAGTCAGGGAACCACAGCACCTGTCTGTCTCTTGTCATACTGTGGCAGCTGCTTGTTGCTAAGATGCTGAAAGCTTTCCACCAGACTTGGAAATATCAGCAGGGTCACCCATGGTGGCAGGTTTCAGCAGAGCTTCCAGACTAAGACAGACTAGAAAGAAATACCTGGCCCCACCCACTTCTGGAAAAATTGGCCATGAAAACCCTATGAACACCATTGTCTGCTATAGCACTGGAATGTAAGAAGATGGCACAGAAATACTGGGCAGGGTCCCGCTCTGCTGTACACAGGGTCACCAGGAGTCAGAATCGATTCAAGGGCACTAACAACAACATTCCTCCTGAAAATAGACATAATCTGATTTGTTTAGTGCTGGTATATTTTATGTATCTTTTCGTTAGCTGGTTAAGTGAAAATTCGCTGTCTTTTTAGTCTCACATGACAGTCTAATGTGCTTGAAAGAAAGCATATATACTAGCTTAACTTGTGTCCAGAGATATTCTGATCTGAAATAGTAAGTTGGAATCTCTGTTAAAGTGAGCCAGTGGTTTCTTTAAGCTGTTAGGACATATCCTTATAATACTAGTGATATCCTCTTGCTATACTGACCTGCTCATTGGCCCAGAACAGCAGACTTTTTCGTTGCCTGGTATATCCTGCCCCCCCGAATTCCTTGCTTGGCTGGCTTGTCCTCTTTTTGTTCTGGTCTCAGTTTACATATTACCTTTGTATGGAGGTCTCCGTCTCCCATCTTTTCTAAAGTAAATTCTTAAATTTGTTTCCTTCAGAGTGTTTACTAAAAGTTATAATTCTTTTATTTAGTTAAGAAAAACCAACTCTCTTTTTTATATGCTATATCTCTTACCTGAATTAAGTGCCTGACTTCCAGAAAGTGTTGACTAAACATTCTCAATAAATGAATAATGAAATAGCTGATATGTACTTGATTATGAGGTTTATTAACAAGTACCAAGAACTTGATTAAGTGCTCATTAAACTTTTTTTTTAATTTAGTCCTGATAAAAACCCTAGGAGATAGGTACAACTAATTTTATACATAGAAAATGGATCACAAGCCAATTAAGTGGTAGAACTTGGGTTTAGAATCCAGGTTTGATTCTAAAACTTTTCTTAACTATTGCTTTCCTTATACTGGAATTGAGTCAGTCATTAGGACATCTAACTCCCTGTCTCTTTGGTTTTTAGGAACTTCTTGCAATAGTAAAACAAAAGACTACTGAGAATTTAGATGATGTCACCCTCTTGTTTACTTTGAAAGCACTTTGGAATCTTACAGATGAGTCTCCAGCTGCCTGCAAGCACTTTATTGAAAATCAAGGATTGGCAATCTTCATCCAAGTCTTGGAGGTGGGAAGATAGGATTGAGTTTATATATCAAGTTCTTGTCTTCATGATAAAGTAACCTATATATTCTTTTGACAGACTTTTTCAGAGTCAGCAATACAAAGCAAAGTACTTGGTCTTTTGGTAAGGTGAATTGTTTTGAGTTAATTCTAAATACTTAAAAAAAATAAGAAAACTAACACCTACGTAGTACCTACTATATGCTAGGCACTTTTGTAAACAATTTACACGTAGTAACTTGTTTAATCTTCAAATCATCCCTATAAAGTAAATACCATTATATATCAGTCATCTATTGCTGTGAACAACTACAGCTTAAAACAGCAGCCATTTTATTTACTTATGAATCTGTGAGTCAACAGTTTGAACTCAGCTCAGCTGTACAGTGCCTCTGCTGGTCTCATGTGGAGTTACTCATGTAGCTGCAGTCATCTAGTGGCTCATCTGGGGCTGGATGCTCTAAGATGGCCTGACTCTCATATCTGACAGTTGGTACAGGTTGTTAGCTGGGCCTTGTGTCTCTGTGGGCTTCTTCACTCGGCAGTTTCAGGGCAGCAATAGGAGGCAAGTCTCACTATACAAGTAGCTTCTTAAACTTCTGCTTACGTCACATTTTCTAATGTCTCATTGTCCAAAGCCTTAGGTTACATGGGGTGTTTTCTAACAACTACTACTCTAACTCTCCAACACCAGCTTGGTGTCCTACAATTCAAGTCAGTTCAATTCTGACACTACCCAGAGTTAGCATCAGATCCCACAAGTTAAATGGCTCAGTCCTACAAGTCTGTGCCCCTACTTCAGTTGCCAGTCATAAATCCTGGGCCATGCGTACTTGCTGACTCACTGGCTATAAATTGGGGGTTTCCACGACCCCGTCTTGAGGTTGATAATTTGCTAGAATGGCTCACTGAACTCTGGAAGGCACTTGAAACTATTATCAATTGATTATAAAGGATACAACTCAGGAACAGTCAAACGGAAGAGATGCATAGGGCAAGGAACGAGGGATGCACGCAGTTCCGTCATGCCGTCTCTGGGCACACCACCCTCCCAGCACCTTGATGTGTTCACCAACCCAGAAGTTCTCCAAACCCCATCATTTAGGGGTTTTTATGGGGTCATCATATAGACATGATTGATTATTAATTCACTCTTCAGCCCCTCCCACCTCCCCCCAGAGATTGGGGAGTGGGGCTGAAAGTTCCAGGCTTGTAATCAAGGTTTGGCATTTCTGGCAACCAGCCCCCATTCTGAAGCTAGCTAGGTACCTGCCAAGAGTCGCCTCGTTTGTATAAAGATGCTCCTATCACTCCAGAAATTGCAAGGGATTTAAGGGCTCTGTGTCAGGAACTGGGGACAAAGACCAAATATATTACTTATTATGCCCATATTACTTATTATGCCCAGATTAAAAGAGGTGGTTACCCCTTGAGGGGAGGAGCAGCAAAGTCACATTGCTAATGGGCATATACACAGGGATAGGAAAAATTGTGTTATGTTCTATACTCTACCACACATTATCTACATTTTATAGACATAGAATCTGAGGCACAGAGATGCTTTTTATCCTATGTCACCTAGGTAGTAAGAAGCAGACTCAGAATTCAAACTCAGGCAGTCTGGCTCCAGACCCTCTGTTATTAACCACTTTACTATACTTCCTCTTTAACAAGGCAATCAATTTTTTGGAAATTTGTTTGTTTATACTTCTGTACTACCTCTCAATCGGGGTATTCGTTACTGAGAAATTTCTTTGTTTCCTAAAGATAAAGGTGAAGATTCACAAAAAGTAATGAAAACATGCTATAAGCCCCTGCAGTTTGTCATGGTGTTGCTTTGGGAGACACAGATGCATGAAATGTTTCAAGCTGATGGTGCTTGTAACGTTGGGGAGGTGATTTTAGACATGTATACAAATAGTTCTCTAAGATTGACTTTATGGTAAATACTAGAAAAAAGGCACAAAGTCCAGAGGGAGCCTTTGATTATAGATCGTGAACTCCTTCACAGCAGGGACTATGTCTTTTCCTTTGTATCCCTAACACATACAGGACTTGGAACACAGAGGAATACATGATTAATATTGGAAATCTGGAAGGTGCAGAAAAGTAGAAGGAAGGGACAAAAAAGTAGGGGACAAAGGTCATTTTTGGCTAGGGAAGATGAGAAAGTGTAATCATTTGAGGGACACTGTAATAACAGACTATCTTGAATTTTGGGAGAAGGTGGAAAGAAGAAAAGCGATGGGAAATCAGGCCAGACGAGACAGGTGGATTGACGCCTCATATATCCTGTACAGTGCTAAGTATCCTACTAGTTGACCTAAGAGATCTTTTACTTTTTATCTTTTTGAGAGCTTCTCAGAATGCTGAGGGTTTATGAGGTTGCCCTTTTCGTTTCTTTCTCTGAAGAAGACCCACATTTTCCTGTGGCTCCCATCTTCTCAACATTTTGTTCCATAGACTCTTGGAAAGAAAAAGCTAATATAGGGGCCGGCCCCGTGGCATAGCGGTTAATTGCACGCGCTCCGCTGCTGGTGGCTCGGGTTTGGATCCCGGGCACGCACCCACGCACTGCTTGTCAGGCCATGCTGTGGAGGCGTCCCACATAAAGTGGAGGAAGATAGGCACGGATGTTAGCTCAGGGCCAGTCTTTCTCAGCAAAAAGAGGAGGATTGGCATAGATGTTAGCTCAGGGCTGATCTTCCTCACAAAAAAAAAAAAGGAAAGAAAAAGAAAAAGCTAATATAAAAGTAGCCTCTGCCAAGCTTATAAGAGAAGTCTTGGGCCTCAACTGAGGTGTCTGTCTCAGTTATGCTAAGGAAGCTATCTATCATCTTGTCTCGCCTTGTTTGGGAATACCGTCTGATAGACCTACCGCTGAAATCATGCTATTGATGAAGTGCGTAGCTGGCCGTGGGAAAAACGGGGGGGGGTCTCAAAACTGCAGTTTTTGCTGAAATCATGCTATTGACAAGAGCGGTATAGCTGGTCTTCGGAAAAACTGTGTGTGTGGGGAATCTCAAAACGGTACAATTTTCTGTGTAGTGCCGTATACTTTCTGAAAGCTGCTTCAGGAGGAGCAGTGGGTGCTGTGTTCATTTTGACTGTGTGTTTCACCTCTAAACCTTTGTTTATTCATCTATGTGGTAGACAGATGATCCTAAGTTGACCCCCAGTGATTTCAGTCTCTTGGTGTTCATGTCTTTGTGTAATCCCCTTCCCTCGAGTGTGGGCAGGACCTGTGACTTGCTTCTAACCAATAGATATGGCAAAGATGATATGATATCACTCTCATGATTATATTACAATATATATGTAAATCCATCTTGCTAGCAGACACTCTAGATAGAGACTCTTTCTTGCTGCATTGAAGAAGCAAGCTGCCATGAAGTACGTGGTTGTAGAAGGGAGAAGCCTGCATGGCAGGGAACTATGGATAGCTTCTAGGAGCTGAGGGTGTCCTCCAGCAAGAAGCTGAAACCGTCATTCTTGCAGCCACGAAGAAATGAATCCCGCCAGCAGTCTGAGTTAAATTTAAAGTAGATTCCCCCCCAGTGGAGCCTCCAGATGAGAATGCAGCCCAGCCAGCACTTTGATTTCAGTCTGTTGAGACCTCAGAGTAGAGGACCCACTAAGTCATGCCTGGACTCCTGACCCACAGAAACTGTGAGGGAAAAAATGTATGTTGTTTTAAGCCACCGAGTTGGTGGTGATATGTTACACAGCATAGAAAACTAATACATACATAAAATAAAGAAAATACTACCTGCCCTTCGTTGTTACTGATAAATTTCAAGCTAATGAAACATATATTAGGCCCCCAGGAATGTTAAGTATTTGAGTCAGGCCTGGATTTGTATTCTGGTTCAACCAGTTATTAGCAGTGTGAATCTGACAAGTCAGTCTTGCTGAGTTTTTTTTTGTTTGACTGTTTTAAAGATTAAATGAGGTAAGGCAGATAAAGACATTTTTGTCTATCTAGTATAGTGCCTGGCACTTAGTAAGTGCTTCCTCAGTGATTTATTATTACTGATCATCCTCATCATCAAGGGGTGGAATTGTGGGTGTTAGGCTAATTGAGAGGGAGGAGGATGGGACTAAGTGTTCTGAATGTATCTGACCTGAGCAGTAGGAGAGGGAGAGGAACCAATTCCTGATTCTCCCCTCCTTTCCTGTCCCTGATATTCTCTGCTCCATCTGACCTGTAGAACAACATAGCTGAAGTCAGAGAACTCTCTTCTAAGCTGGTGACAGAAGATGTGGTGAAGCATGTCAGCAGCTTGCTCCATAGCAAAGAAATGGAAGTCAGCTATTTTGCTGCAGGCATCATAGCCCACCTGACATCTGACAGCCAGCCCTGGATGTCCCGTGACCTTCAGAGGACTGCTCTTCTCCAAGATCTGGTATAAGAACTATCCTCTTTACAAAATCCAGAGTAACCTCTTCTTGCAGAACACTTATTTTTCTAGATCAGAAGAGTTTTAGAAATATGTGTTCATTGTAGAAAATGGGAAACATACAGAAAAGTGTAAAGAAAATATTGTAAATCATGCATACGCTACCACCGAAAGCTAACCTCTCTTTAACATTTAGTTGCATTCCTTCTGATATTTTTCTTTCGTAAAAGTTATACATGCAAACCGTTGTATATGGCTTATTCCAATTCTCTTTCCCACTTTCAGCTCTTTTCTAAGCTATTTACCTCCATATCCCTAAATAACAAATGTTGCTACTTCTTGACTTTTCAGTTTTAGGCTAACCTCTCTTTAACATTTAGTTGCATTCCTTCTGATATTTTTCTTTCGTAAAAGTTATACATGCAAACCGTTGTATATGGCTTATTCCAATTCTCTTTCCCACTTTCAGCTCTTTTCTAAGCTATTTACCTCCATATCCCTAAATAACAAATGTTGCTACTTCTTGACTTTTCAGTTTTAGGCCTTATCTACTAATTCATTTTCCCACTCTGGAAAATGAAGATTCTTTTTCTCACTGTTCCTATGCACACCCTTCCCTATACTCCCAGTGTAAATTTTTTAGTACATTCACGCATGTGCTGTCCACTTCAGCTTCTCAGAGTTGTCTTTCCTAGAGCATCTGTCTGTCTGCCATCTGGTCTGCTTTCTTTGTACATCTGCTATACCGCTGTCATCCAGGATATTCCTTTACTGACATCCTGGGGATTCTCTGCCGCTCTTGTGTTGGATTCCTTGTTTCCTGGATTTGCGTGGATTTGTGTGCCTTCCTGTTTTTTTGGTGTACTCTTTCATTCTGTTGGATCATAGCTTCCAGTAGCTTCCTAAGAAGGTGAAGCATGAAGGAGAAAATTTGAGATCTTATCTGTTTGAAAAAGCCTTTATTTTACCTTCATATTTAGTTGATCAAATGGCTGGGTATAGAATTTTAGTTTTGAAATATTTTCCCATCAGAATTTTTAAATCATTGCTCTGTTGTCTTACTTCTCTATATCACTATTGAGAAACGCTGTGCCATTTTTCTTTGGAAGGTTTAAGATCTTTATCCTTAGTGTTTGGAAATGACAGTGATGTGCTTTGGTGTTGATGTGGATTTATTTTCACCTGTTACGTTAGCTACTTATTGGTCTGGAAGCTCCTTACCTTCAGTTCTAGGAAATTTTTTTCTCCCTCTCTCCCTATCCTCTCTCCCGTCCCTTCCTCCTTCCCTCTCTTCACTTCCTCCTTCCCTTCCTCTTTCCTTCTCGCATCATTGCCTTCCTTCTTCTCTCCCTCCTTCCCTTCCTTCCCTCCGTCCTGCCTCTTTTTTTCTGGGATCTTGGCCCTCCCAGACTCATCTTTTCTTATCTATTCCCTGTTTTCCTTTTTAAGTTTTTTTCACCTTCCATTCCTTCTATTGAATTTTGCATTTCTGCTATTATATTTTTAATTTCCAAGAACTCTTTTTTTTTTTTTTGGCGAGGAAGATTGGCTCTGAGCTAACATCCATTGTCAGTCTTCCTCTTTTTGCTGAGGAAGATCAGCCCTGAACTAACATCTGTGCCCATCTTCCTCCATTTTGCTTGTAGGAGACTGCCACAGTATGGCTTGATGAGTGGTGTGTGGGTCCGCATCTGGGATCCGAACCTGTGACCCCTGGGCCGCTGAAGTGGAGCATGTGAACTTAAACACTACGCCACAGGCCAGCCCTGTGGAACTCAATTTTTGTTCTCTGAGTGCATCTTTTTCTTGTTTCATGGTAGTTTTATCTATTATCGCTTTAAAGGTATTAATGATAGTTTGGGAGTTTTGCTTTGTTTTAGGTTTTCCTCTTCCTCCAAGGTCTGTTTCCTGCAAGTTGCTTTTTTTTCCTATTTGTTTTGTTCCTTTATGTTGCAGATTTTCTTAAAGTGTATGGTGATCCTCAGTTGTCCATTCATATCTAAGAGTGGGGCTGTTTGGAAGCTGTGTGCAGATGGGTAGAACTTGTCAACTGTGGGCTTTGTTACAAAGTGATCTGGACTAGTTGTCCCTCAATATCAGTGTCATTAGATCTTTTGTCTCTACTGGTTGGAATGTACCTGAAGAAGAATCTTCTGTTCTTCTGATTGAAAACCATCAGCCTGGCTGCTAACAGTCTGAAAGCCCACTAGAGGAAGAGATGTCGGGGCAGAGGAGTCTCAGCATTTAGTATTGAGGTTTTCACTTCAGCCCTCTGTTTTTAGCATGGTACTCTCACCCTCAATTGTTCACGGAGTTGCCCAGTCCAGAAATTTTTGTTAGGGGTGGAAAAGGAGACCTGGGAGTCTTGATTCTTTGGTACTTTCAACCAGTCCTCTTATTTTCAACCCCAGCTCTAATCTCACCTCCTGAAGTACCTAGTGTGCCAAATTTTTAAGTCTCTTGGGGGTTCTGTTAAAATTGGTTTGTTTTTTAACCTTCCTCAGTGGTGGATCTATTAAATCAGTTACCATTTTCCTTTTGCTTTGTTCTTTGTATGTTTGCTTTCTTTTCTTTTAAACCATTTATACTACTCTGTTCATGGGATTTAGGGAAGGGGTAGGTGCATGCTCAGTCCTCCATCTTTAAACAGAAGCCCCTTTTTATTGCATTGTTTTCCACATGACTTTGTTCATATTCTACATATATAATGGTTATCTAATTGATAGTTTGGCAAGTAGGTATACCCAAATTTGCGTAATCATTCCCATATTTTGAAAATTTATGTTGTTTCATATATATATATAATTATAAATGACATGAAACAGCCTATTATGATTTTTCAAAAATGATAGAATACAATACTAGAATCCTGGTTTCTTTTTTTGTACAGTATGCAACCATCCAGAATTGGCCAAGTTCAAGTTGTAAGATGACAGCATTGGTGACCTACAGGTATTTCATGATGGTGTTGTGCTTTTCTTACACATGGTACATGATAAAATATTAGAGTCAAATAGCCTTCTGTTCAAATCCTATTTCTTTGTGATATTGGGAAAATCACTTTTAGAAAATCTCTGAGACTCAATTTAGTTCTGCTGTAAAATGAGGCTGACAGTGTGCAGGATTGAGGATGAAATGAGATGTTGAATGTATAGAGTGTCTAACACAGAATGCAATTTCTTAAATGCTAGCTCCCATTATACGTTCAACAATATGTCTGTCTCAGTGAGGAATTAACCCTGTGGGGAAAAGGTTGAAAATTATTATTATATCCCTGACGTTAGCCTGAGTTCTGAATCTTCTTTGTACCTTTTTAGATCCTTCAAGGCATTTTTCCCGCTTCTTGGCAACTTCTCTCAACCAGAGGTTCAGCTCTGGGCACTATGGGCTATGTATCATGTCTGCAGTAAAAACCGTATGTATTCAAAACCGTTTTCTAGCTCTTTTTCTGTGTAATGACGAAGTTCAAGATGGAATTTTTAAAAATTGTTCTCCTGTTTCCTGAATTTAGCTCTTTTTAAAACAAAACTGAAAAAATGTTTTTGTTAGTTTAAAAAATGCTGCAGAATTATAATATATCTGGGGTTGGATGTCAGGCAACATAGTGAGTGAAAGTTTGCTTCCACTCCTATCCCCCACAGGCGAGCACTGTTAATAATTTGATAACTAGAACTATCCTTCCAGATACTTTTCTGTGTACGTGCATACCATAGTTAGTTTATACTGTATATGAATATGATAATGTTTTTAAACACAATGGTCTCATTCTATGCATGCTATCCTATAGCTTGCTCTCTTCACCCCAACAGTTTATCATGAATACTTTTCCTGTAGTAATACATAGCTCTGCCTCTGTAATGGTCTGTGGGAGGTTGGGGGGCCAGGGGTCAGGACTTGTTTCCCAGCAAGATTAAATGTTTTTGCATGTTTTGCTGGTTTAAATTACCCTTTGAGAATTTTTGGCATATATCCTTTGCTAAGGATTATTGTAAAAATTTTTACTTTTATTACAAAAGAAATATAAGCTATAATTTTATACTAAAAAGCCTGAGAGAGGCCAGCCCCGTGGCTTAGTGGTTAAGTGCGCGCGCTCCGCTGCTGGCGGCCTGGGTTCAGATCCCAGGTGCGCACCGATGCACCGCTTCTGTGGCTATGCTGAGGCAGCGTCCCACATACAGCAACTAGAAGGCTGTGCAACTATGACATACAACTATCTACTGGGGCTTTGGGAAGAAAAAGGGAAAAAAAAAAAGCCCGAGAGATAACTTTTAGAATTAAAGGTTTAGCTATCAACATAAGTATAAAATATCTAAAAATAGCTTTAACAAGTAATGAGACCTATTTGCAGAAAACTGTGAGAAATGATTTAAAAGCCTGAAATAATTATGAGACATACTATATTTCTAGATAGAAAGACTTATTAAGATACAGATGTCAATTCTTTTCAGTTTATGGGTATAATATAATTCAAGTGAATGAGTGATGAGGGATCTGAAAATTATTCTCAAGTTAATCTGGCAGAATAAACAGGAAAGAACTGACCAAGAAAAATGTTTTGTTTTGTTTTTTTTAATTTTTATTTATTTATTTTTTTCCCCCCAAAGCCCCAGTAGATAGTTGTATGTCATAGTTGCACAGCCTTCTAGTTGCTGTATGTGGGATGCGGCCTCAGCATGGCCGGAGAAGCGGTGCGTCAGTGCGCGCCCGGGATCTGAACCCCGGGCCACCAGCAGCAGAGCACGCGCACTTAACTGCTAAGCTACGGGGCCGGCCTGAAAAATGTTTTTTTAGGAGCTTGCCCTAACACTTCTCTTTAAATTATAAAAAAGTACTGTGAATGGTGCTGGTGTATGAATAGATATAGGCAGATCATTTGGTCAGAATAACCCTGAAATAGACGTCAGTATATTCAGTTACAACAGCAGTAACTCAACAACTAAAACTTAGTTGAGTACTTACTGTATGCCAGGCAGTGTTGTAAGCTCTTTACGAGTAACTCATATTTCATCTTCACAACAACTAGAAGGAGGTAGCACTGTTATTATTATCCACCTAGTACAGATGATAAAATGAGGCACAGAGAAGTTAAGTCACTTGCCCATACTTAAAAGTTAGCAACTGGTTCTAGAACTACAGCCAGGGTTCTAACCTAGTGATCTGACTCCAGATCACCACTACTAATTAGACTGCTCAGTATTTCTTCACTATATTGATATAATAATTTATTTAACCAGTCTCCTTTAGATGGACGTTGTTTCTGATCTTTTCTATTACCAACACTGGTTCAATGAATAATGACTTGTGTATATATATATATATATATACACACACACACACACATATACATATATATATATATATAAAGTGAAAATAGAAAGGGAAGGGTGCACATGTGTGGTAATTGAGAGGACAGATGCCAGAACTAGACTATCTGTGCTCTATTGCCAGTTTCTGCCCCTTACTAACTGTGGGAACTTAAGCAAGTTACTTGACCTCTTTGTGTTCCAGTTTTCTCACCTATAAAATGAGAATAAAAATATCTATTTCATAGGGGTGTTATGAGAATTAAGTGGGTTAATTTTTGTTAAGCATTTAAAACATTGCTTGGCTCATAGTACTAGCATTTGTACATAGCATAGTATTAATACAACCACAGTACCTAGCATTTGTTAAATAAAATACATCATTTTGCAAATGAGTTAATTTGCAGAATACTTAGAATTGCTGAGTCAGAATGTTATGAACATATGTAATGTTGATAGCTATTGCTCAACTAGAGTCGATTACCAGTTTACATTCCCGTCAGCAATGTATGAGAGCTTGCCAGTTTCCTTACATTCTTGCAGAAACATTTAATTGAACTTTTTGATTTTGCCAATCTCAGGTGAAAGTGATAGTCTCATTTGACGTGTGTTATAAGTGAGGTTACCATCTTTTCTTCTCTTCAAGAGTCGTTTCCTTTCCTTGAATTGTTTGTTCACTTTCTGTCTGCTGTTGGTCTTTTTCTTTCTAATTTGAAGGAGTTTATTGTCTTCACTTTGTTCATTGTGTTTACAAGTCAAGCTTTTGCTATATGGCCTCTGGATTTCAGGTCATGGTTACACTTTCCAAAATTGATGAAAATTCTCAGCCATTTCTTTTAAAATATTACCTTTCCCCTATTCTCTCTATTCTTTTCTTGTGGAACATCTATCAGAAGTATCTTGTACCTTCTCTCATTATATCCTACACATCCTGCAACCTTTTTTAAAAAAGTAGTTTCCATGTCTTTGTTTCTTTGTGCTGTATTCTTGGTAATAGCCTTAAATGTGTTTTTGAATCATTATTTCTCTCTTTGTGTCTAATGATTAAGAGAATCCTTTTTAGACTGAATTGTGGACATGTCCCTTCAGCACAGTTTTGTATTTGCTTCTGTCAAGTGCTCTAGAGGTTTCCCTGGGATTGGACTAATATTTATATTAGTTTCTCAGCTCAAAGGTTCCCAGAAAATGTAGGTAGTGTAAATTGAAACCCTATACCCGATTGGGACTGTGGTTATGAATTCTCAGGAAAGACTTCTCCTCCCCACTCCTATATACCCACCTAGAACCCAGGCCAAGGTAAAGATGTTTCATTGTCTAATTCCTTCTTTTGCCTAGCCCTTTGAGGGACCAGCTTTATGCACTGATTTTTCTTCTAACTTCCTAAGTTAAAATCTAAATTCCTAGATTATTGGAACTGACAGTCGCTTTCTGCCCCAGGATAGCTCCAGGGTAGGTTACATGAGTTTAGGTGCTTTATGTTCTTTGTGTTTGGCTCCTGGACAGTTCCTTTGCTTTGTACACTCAACTGTGCATTTAAAATTTTTTCTGGTGTTTTCAGGTTATCTAGCTCAACATACTGCCTAAACTTGAAATGTGTGTTTTTTGTGATAAAAGATATTTGAAGCATAGAGTTGTCTGGAAGTAGACATACTAAAATAATCATCTCTTCTCACTACACAAGCCAAGCATTATTTAGGTTTTGAATTGACTCATTTTATCTGTTAACTCCTGTGTCAAAGAGCTTAAACCTTTGTACCCTTTCTTTAAAAAGGTGAATGGATGTTGGGAATATTTAAAATGTTAATTTCTCCATCAAGTTTCTTTGCTTGATTTTCTTTCAGCCAGCAAATACTGCAAAATGTTAGTCGAAGAAGAAGGATTGCCACTTTTGTGTGACATCCGGGAGCACAGTGAGGCAGATCTCCAAGCACAGAAGATTGCAATCTCCATTCTAGATGACTTCAGAATGCATTTTGTGAATTATCAGAGACACCCTCTATGTTCAATGCCCTTAACGTAAGAGGCTTAAGAGGTGCTCTCTGTTCCTCAGTGTCAGGTCTTCTGTCAGCAATTGAATGTCGAAACCAGTTGTCGTTGGAATTTGTGAGTTGGCCGCCTCACTAGCCTTTTATTGTTAATTTTCTACAAGTTACAAAAGATTGGATTTGTATGATAGCCATAATCCCAAATCAAGTTGGAATCATTCTGGGAACACCCCTTCCACAGTTTTGAAAAATCAAGCCCTGGACTCGTGGGAAGACCTGTGAGCTTGCATTGGAACAGTCATACCAGTTACTTTTCTCTAGCTCTGGCCAATTTCTTGACTCTGGGAGTTTGTCAGAGGAAGAGGTAAAGAAAGACCTACAGGGAGACCTTGGTATTTATGTTAAATTTCCTATATGAAAGAATCTCCCAAGTTGTTATTCCTGGTTATGTGAAACCACTGGAAAAGAAGTACATGAAAAAAGTTCTGAGAAGTTTATGCTTACAAATGTGTTGTTTGGAAAGCAGAACTTTTGTTGGAGGGGAGGAAAAAGAAAATAATAATTTTCTTTTATAGGTACCAAAGAACCTTTCACTTGTGGGGTGGAGGGAAGAGAAATATATTTTTTACAATTTTGGATATTCTACCTTTGGCCTGTTATTCTTACAACTTTGCTCATTAGACTGAGTATAACATTCTGTATAATGGGTATACTGGGGGGGCATGGTGGGACTTAGGACTGAGTGTTTAATGAAAGATTATTTGGGGATTGTAAATCTCAATCCCTCAAATTTTTAATTTGAGTTGGGACGGTGATCAAAACTGAGAGGAAGAGGAAGGGCCAGAGAAGGACTTTGCTAAACATTTCAGGAGGTACTCTTAACTAGCATGGAGACCAGAAAGATATGGGCTTTTCTGAGAACTAGCCTCAACCACAATATAGACTATCAGAAGCTTTTGTCTGTGCCTTCTGCAAACCTCTGTGGAATAGAGTATGAACTCCTTCCTTGCTTTATTTTTGACAACTAGTGAAAACATGTTTTGCCGTTCGTATGTTTAAGTTTTTCAAAGAACCAAAGTACATTCCTTTTGATCATTTTAGCATATTTTAGGACTATATTTCTATGCTTTTAGCTGGCCAGACCCTTAACTGGAGTGCTATGTACCACCTTTTGGAATTAAAAGAGGCTTATTCTTATTCTAAACCATATTCAAAACTATTGCTCCCAAGTGTCCCACTGGATAAGGGGAATTTGTAACCTACTTCCATCTGCAGTCCTGAAACTGCACTATATTTTCTCCCATTCACTCTTCTTCATGATTCCAAAAGGCTGTCTTAGTTTCCTGCCCTGGGTTCTACTACTTTGGAACATTCTGTTACCAGATACTAGCTTTTGCTAATGTGAGGATGTGGTGGGAACTAGCGCCTGTTAAGGTCCAGTTCTATACTAGGCACTCCTCCAAGCTTTGTGTCTTTCACAGCAATCCTCTGGGGTAGGTAAGTTTTATTCTTCCCATTTAACAGGTGAGAAGAAGGAAGTTCAGTCAGGTTGTTACTTTCCTGAATAGTGATAGCTCATGCGGTTGGTGCTGATTCTAGAGCCTGGGCTCTTCTATATTACTCTCCCTTCCAGGAAATGAGCACAACCTTGGGGCACATTTGCATTTAGCAGCAAATCAGCAATGTTGTTGACATGTATCCATGCCCATGGCTTAGTGACTCTAGGCCAGGGGTCGTCTCAGGAAGCACAGATCAGTTGAAGAATGACCACAAGGCTACAGCTTAAGATGCAGCCTTCTCTTCTGCCTTGGTACAGGAGGAGGGCCACTGAGACTAGCGTGCATATGTGCATGTCAACCCTGCTTTGTTTCTGAGTGTGTCATCCTTTTGCTCACCTGTCCTCATGCTGTTCCCCTCAGCCTTCCTCTTCTTTGCCTCAAATGCCTATTAATCCTTTAGGCTTCAACTCTAATGTTGCCTGCCCCATTCCTGACCCTCCATTCTCTCCATAGGTTAATCAGTCCCTTCTCAGTGCTCCTGAAGGCTATTTAATGTGGCCATCAACGATTTACCCTATAGTTTATGAAAGGTTTTCTCAGCGATGATTTCATTGGATTCTCACAAGAACACTCCATTAATAATAACATTTATGGAACATGAGGTGTTTATTTTTTTTAACCTTCACGCCAGTTTCATTCTGCAGATGAGGAAGCTGAGGCATGTAGTGAGTAAGTGGCAGAGAGCTGGGATCTGCAGTCTGATTCCTGATGCCTGCTCAAGCACTACCAGGGTTTCCTTATTATCTGTTACAGAGGAAGGAACTGGGGGCTTCTTACAACCTCTTGCCGTCTCTGGTGAGCACCTGACAACTGAGAGGCAGAGGTCAGGCCTAACAGCCAACAGTACAAAAGCCCAGAGGGGTCTATCTTAATCCTTAGTTTATCATTCGAGTAGGGAGAGGCGGGTACTCTCCAAAGCAAATTCGACCCCAGTGATTATCTAGACAGGGTGAGGAATAATGAAGGAAGCAGTAGGTGGCATGGTCAGCACATTAATACCAGGCCCATGCCACTCATTTTATATCCATCATTGTCCTTGTGAGGAAACTGAAGCCCAAAGAGGCAAAATGATGAAGGCAGTTGCGCTGCAAATTTTCCTTCTGGATCCTGCCCTTTAAGGCTTGCATCTCCCTTAAGGTTAAATGGGAGTCACTTGCCAACAAATTTGGGAGGCCGCTTCTCCCTGAAGGCTGCCATGCCCTCTAGCCGGTCCTGGGTGGGGATGTTCTGAAACAACATACAGAGTATTAGGTTCGGGGGAGAAGGGCCAGAGGCCAATAAAGATTTGTTCAAGCTTGTCCAGCCCATGACAAGGCGAGAGTCCACGTCTTTCCATTGTCTCTGGACTCTGGTATTGGGCCATGCAAAGGTTGGGGCCTCAGTGGCTCCTTGTTCTGGGGAAGGCAGGCTGTCTCTCGAGCATCTGTAGCCTGTCACATTAGCCTCTACTTGCACACTGTTTACATGCTTCCAGAGAGCTCACAGTCTCTTGTACCAGTCTGATATGAGGCTGCTCAGTAGAGAAAAAAGATTAGGCTTTGCAGTGAGAAATGGCTTTGAATCTGGTGTGTAGCTAGTTTACGCTTGGTCCTACGAGTCCCAGACCCCCTGTTTAGGAGTATTTTGGATATTTGCTAACCTGGAGATCAGTATTTTTGACTCACCCAGGAGTCAGGGGCTAAATAGGTCAGCTCCAGATTTACTGCCCCACCATTGAACTCACACAGCCTGCAGGCTGTAACCAAGGCCTTGACATCCCAGCTCCAGCCTAGCCTGTACAGTGGCCACTGGGCCAGAGACAGCAGAAGCCATTCTTCTTCTCTGTCAAGTGTGATTTCTCTGTGATTTCCCCACTAAGTGGGGCAGGATGCACCACCATTGGATGGCTGCGGAAACAGTCCCAGAGAGAAGCAGTGTGGTTTCCCTGGGATCACCCTAGGCCAGTTGTGAGGAGGAAACGGCATAGAATCTGACTTTTTGGGTTGGGAGGAACCTACTAAATTGGTCGTATATTGCACAAGGCCCCCACTCTGACCCAGCCTCTGCTTAAAGCAAGCAGGGACTGGCAGCAGCCACATACCTGGGCATAGCATATCCCTTCAATGGCCATCCCTGATGCAATGTCCACCTGCGAGAAAGAAGTAGTGCCTGGATCAGCCTGACCTTGTCCAACTCCATGTGCACTGGGAACCAGCCCGCCCTACTGCCTGCACCATTCCTTATTGTTTCGTGGATCCTCCAGCAAAGAGTTACTGAGGTTTACTGTATGCCAGTCCATGTGAACAGACATGAATATGATAAGGAATTCCCTACCTGGAGAGGGAAGACCATTCGAAACAGTGATAAAATAGTGCTGGGACAGATGGGGGCCGTGAGAACAATGGGGGGGATTGCACACATCCTGTAGAGCCGAGGAAGGCGTGCATGAGCTGTGCTTGCACAGCCAGTGTTCCCTCCTCCCCATCTGGCTGCCTCACTGTGCCTCCTGTCACCCCTGTTAGTGAACTTCGGAGGCTTTCCTTGCCCTCAGGAATAAAGTTCTCGGCCTTTATGTCCTGGCCCCTTGCAACTTGCCAGCCTCTACTGCCCAGTGCTTACTGTTACTACCACTTACAACAAACATTGTTGCAAGAGAAGTACCGTGTGTGTAAATGTCACTTTTCACAACAAGGGTTATTATCCCTACTATACAGTTGAGAAACCTGAGGCATTAGCAAGAAAGGTGAAGTGATTTGTCTGAGGTCACAACAGCATGGGGAACGGCAGGTCTTTGAACCCAGACAGTCCAGCACCAGAGCCCATGCTCCTAACCTCCATGTTATATCTGAGTCACTTCTTACTCCCATTCACTCGAGTTGCTTAATTTATACACTGCTGCGCTTTTGCTCATACTTTTCCATTTGTTTTGGAATTCTCATTTTTCTCGAGGCCCAACTCTAGAATACATTCTCTGACCCAGCACTACCCAATAATACCATAGCCACTAGCCACATGGACAGTGTAGATCTAGCCTCTCCAGAGTGTCTGCTTGGTACCCTTAACCTTTTATCAGTGATTTTTGTCTCTATCTGCCCCCCTTCCCACTTTGGGGGCAGTGACCATACTTGACTCATCTCTGTGTCCTAGTTCGCAGCTCATGTCTAGGTTCAGTGTGTGATGAATGAACTGATGAGTAAGTTGATGTCTAGGGACAGATTAGCTGCACCCAAGGTACCCTGAGCCCTGTCCTTGAGGCCACATTACTGACCACCAGCACAAACCCAAGAGCCACACAGTCCTGGGTTCTTATTACTCACTTTGTGACCCTGGATTCTGACCCTCAGTTTCCTTCTCCCTCCAAGAGAGAGATGAGGATAAAATGTAATTCAGAATGTCACCTGGCCAAACTTTCCATTTTATACATAAGTGTAAACTAAGGTACAAAAAGGGGGAGGCCAAAGTCTGTTAGAAGAGTCCGGTTCCTGAGTTCTTTCCAGCTGTGCTGTCAGTCTGTGAGAGCTGTGAAAGCACTGCCTCCCAGCCACCCCACTGACTTCAGTGGACCCAAGTCTTGACCCAGAACCCTCTCACCTCCATTCCGCGGTCGATGGCTACTTTGCCCAGCCGCACAGCGATGGGGGCCTAGGAAAGAAAAAGCTTGGTTGAGGAGAGGATCAGTGCTAATAGTTAGGGGGGTTGAAATACAGAGAGGCACATAGCTGCATGGTGGGGGAAGAGTCTGGACGGGGAGGCAAAGGTCTCGGTTGAGTTCTAGCTGTTCTACCGACAGTGTTGTTTCTTTAGTATTAGTACCTACTACTTCTCAGTTGATACTCATTTTCTGTAATGAAAACCCCAGAAGCTGACCATCTGGGGTTCTTGTCATTTATTCTTTCCCTCCAACGTGTACAACATACTACGATTTACAAATCCCATTCACAGATTTGTCTGATGGAGCTACCCACCCTTCCAGGGTGGTGCCATCTTTGAGGCTCAGGGAGGTGAAAGCCACGTTTGTCCAGTGAGTCAGTGGTGAAGCTTGGATTTGATTTGCAGTTACCTTTCCCACTGCTGCTCCATTCCTCTACCCCTTTCATCTCAGCAAATGGAAGCCTCCACTGCAAACAGGTTTTACCCCAGCAGAGTAACAAAAGGTCCAGATTAGGAACTTGGGCTTTAGAGTCTGACAGGCCTGGGTTGAAATCTCAAGGGGGCATTTTGCCCGGCCACTTGGAATCAAGGGAATCAAAGTGGCTGTCTTTACTTCACTGGTCTAGTTTCCAATTAACTTGTGCCACAGCAGGCCTGGCACTCCATCCCCAGCCCCACTTCCAGGCAAGGAATGTATTTACTTCCTATATTTATATTGTATTATTTGAAGTTTTTGTAAATAAGGCTTTATCGGAAAAATAATGGTTTTAGTCTGTTAGTATAGAAGCCATAAATGAAAAATGAAGAACTTCAGATTGGGAAAAATAACCATGAATAAAAGGCGAAAGTCAAGAACTGGGAAAATATATTTTTGATACTTATGACAGATGAATTTCCTTGATTTAACAAAAATTCACAAAGGTATGAAAAGGTGGTTCACAGAAAAAAATATAAACACAAGGGATGCTCAGCTTTACTCTTAAAGAAATGCAAATCAAAACACTGAGGGGCCCCTTTTCACCTCAGACTAAGTAAATAGTAAAATGTTGGTAATGCCCACTATTGCTGAGATTTAGGAAACAGGTCCAGTCATGCGCCACATAAGGACGTGTCCGTCATGTCTGTCAATGACGCACCACATATATACAACAGTGGTCCCATAAGATTAGTACCACACAGCCTAGGTGTGTAGTAGGCTGTACCGTCTAGTTTTGTGTAAGTACACTGTATGCTGTTCACACAATGATGAAATTGCCTAATGACGCATTTCTCAGAACATATCTCCGTCACTAAGTGACGCATGACTGTATTTGCATACATTATTGATAGGAGAGTAAATTGGTACAGTGCTTCCAGAATGTAATTTGGCAAGAACTGGCAAATGTTAGATGTATTTGCTTTTTGAGGTTGCAACTCCATGTACGAATCTACCCTACAGATGCACTTCTAGAAGTACACTAAGATGTACAAAGTTATTCACTCTAGTTATTTTGCAGTAGCAAAAATATGTAAGCAACATAAATTTTCATCATTAGAGTGCTGGTTAGTAATGACAGCACATCCACACCATGAATGGAGAAGTGTGCAGTTGTTTAAAAGAGTGAGGTTGATAAGTATATGCTGAAATGGGGAACTCTCCAAGATGGTGAAAAAAGCAGGGTACATACTAGTCTGGATATTATTATTCCATTTGTTAAAAAGTGTTGGTATGACACGCCTTTGGGGAGAGGGGTCAGGACAATGTTACTTTTTGTTTTATATTTTTCCATGCTGTTTGCATTCTCTATGCATATTTTAATTTCATGTTTTAAAATGTCTTTTAGAACTGGATTAGTCTCTACAGGTGTGTTCCTTGTCCCCTAAACCATCCTTAAAAGGAATTTAGAGTTATTTAGATATGTGAGTACACCTTTCCCCGACTATCTGAAAGTTCGCTCTATGCCACTTGGCTTTTACCAAAGACCTACATTAGTACCTGTTTTTGCTAACCGAAAAAATCCAAAGAGGATTTTTGTTTTTTCGATAAAAGGCGAAAGCGAAAGTAGCGTTCAGCTTTTGTTTTGCAGCAAGCTGTTACAGAGGCTAAACAGTCAAGCATACTGTTGTATTTCAAGCCTTCCACATCAGCCACAGCAGATGACGAACCTTGACCTTCGATGTCGAGGCAAGCAGACACAGAAGAAGGTGTGGACGTTAATGACCTGCCTGCCCCGATGGATTGAGATGTTAATAGATGACCCTCTTCCTCTCGCGCCCAGTCTCCTGTACCTCTTACCACCGCAACCTCCAGTGACTCAGCCTAACCCACCATCACCACCACCACCTCAGCCTTCCAGCGTACTCGGTGTCTTCTGATTCTGGTAAGTGAAACTACACTGTACATAACGTTATTTCTACTTTTATATGCTGTGTATTTATCATATCATTCCTGCTTTCACTATATGTTAGCGTAATTTTGGGTGTTATGTGTTATTTGGTATGATTTGGTAGGTTATTTTTTGGGTCTGGGAATGCTTAAAAATTTTTCCCACATAAATTAATGGTAATTGCTTCTTCACTTTACACCATTTCGGCTTACAAAAGGTTTCATAGGAATGCTCTACTTTTGGATAGTGGAGAAAACCTTTATATGTGTATAATGTATATTATATATGCAATGAAAATTTCTGGAAGAGTATGCAAACTGTTAACAATGGTCATCTCTCGGGAGAGGGATTGGGGAATTGAGAGCTATTTGGGTGACCAGCAGTCCCGGTTTGCTAGTGATGAGGGGTTATCAGGACATACGACTTTTGCTTTTAACTGGGACAGCCCCAGGTAAACAGAGTCACCTGGGTTACTCTGCTTTTGATTTTTACCTTATGTCCTTCTTTTTCTTCTGTTCTATTTGATTTGCTTATTATGAATATGTATTATTATTATTTAGGTAACCACCTAATATGATTTCTCACCAAAGAAAATTAAAAACTATATAGATATGTTTTATGTGTGTTAAAAACATACATCTTTGAGCATGGATATATATATGAGAATTATTAGGAATATGATTGATAATTTTCATGTTATTTGGAAATGGGAACAGTGGGTCACACTGTGGCCACAGTATGTTCTATCCCTATTGTGTTCAAATACAAAACAGAACCAAATCCATATTCAAAGGATAATGTATATTTACTATTTTTTTTTTTTTTTTTAAAAATTTTTTTTTTTTTTTTTTTCCCCCCAAAGCCCCAGTAGATAGTTGTATGTCATAGCTCCACATCCTTCTAGTTGCTGTATGTGGGACTTGGCCTCAGGATGGACGGAGAAGTGGTGCCTCGATGCGCACCCGGGATCCGAACCCGGGCCACCAGCATTGCAGCGCGCGCACTTAACCACCAAGCCACAGGGCCAGCCCTGTATATTTACTATTTAAGGGGAAAATCTGAGTGTTAAGTTGCAGACCTTGCTTTTATTGACAATCTTTTTGGGGTTCTAATCTCTGGAACCATTTGATTTCCTAGTCTTGGTAGTTTGTCCACTAGAGGGCAGCCATCTACCACACCATCCCTGGCACTCACCCCATCTGGGAACCCTCTCATCCTGGGCACCTAGTGACTCTGCCGGAAGTTGAAGATTTGTTTTTCAGGTTGCATCAGAATGTCCCACCATCGGGATTGCTGATTGTAGTACTAGGTTTTGGTAGACTGGTGTTTTGGTATACAAAGCTACATTTAAGTACTGAAGTACTAGTGATTATATTAGTGGAATACCATTATTTCGGTATATTCAAAAATCTGAAATCTGAATCATCTTGACATCAAGCTCAAAGACCCAGTTATTCAGTTTCTGCAAAAAGACAAACCCTACAGTCTACAAGTCTTGCTAGATAGGCCTCCTCTGTGGAAGTGCAGTCAGCCACTACCTTGAGTCACTCAGTTTTATATTAGTTCGGAGACTTTCTGACCAAGTGTAATAGAAACCTGACAGCGTTACAATTCTCCAGGTATCAGCATCACACTGTCCATTTATATGTGATGAAACCAAAAAAAAAAAACCATGAAGACAAACAGATGCTTTCTTTTAAACCAAACTCACTATCAGGTTTTAAAAGTTGTCGCCCCTGCTCTCAAAGAAGACCTCAAAGTTATAAAAAGAGGTAGGATTATTTAAATTTAAGGGAGACAGAGAAAGAATTTTTTTTCCAAAATATTTTTCTTATTTTTATGATTAATTCAAATACTTTTGTCTGTTGTTAATATTAAAATGACAATGCATGGTTAACATTTTTATAGACTTATATTTTAACTGTGTTATGTAACATGTTTGTAAATTTTTATATTTGAAATACATTAAATATTTAATTTCACAGTTTTTAAAATTTTGTACCTATTCTGCACTCTTTAGAATAAAATACCAGTTTTTATATTGTATTGTGTATTATGCAAAATAAAGCCAAATACCAGTATTGTCTTTTTTTTTCTGATACTGCAATCACTTTTTGTGACCTTGATGAGCAAGTCACTTAACCTTTCTGGGTCTGTTATATCACAAATACAACAGGGATAATCAGCTCAACTGAATTGTTCTAATAATTGAGACACTATTAAAGTACTTAGGATTGTGTCTGATGGATGGGGGTGCTCCATGTGTGGGCTAAGTCAGTCAGTATTTATTATAAATTAGTAAAACCTAGTTCCATTTCAGCTGCTTTCATATCTTTGTTTTATTTTTTTGCAGGGGAAGAGTCACCCTAAGCCAACATCTGTTGCTAATCTTCCTCCTTTTTTTCCTTCCCTTTTCCCTGAAAAGTCCAAGTACATAGTTGTTTATAGTTTTAAGTTCTTCTGGTTCTTCTGTGTGAGCCACTGCCACAACATGGCTACTGACAGACCAGGGGTGTGGTTCTACGCCCAGGAACTGAACTCAGGCCCCAAAGTGGAGCACGCCGAGCTTTAACCACTAGGCCGTCAGGGCTGGCTCTGCTTTCAGATCTCTATGGAAATTTAGGACTTCCCTCTGGGTCCTCTTAAAGTAGTGAGAAGCTGGCAAAGCCTCTCAGGTCCTTGGAGACCCCTTCAGCCAGATCCTGGGTGTCCTGCTGAAGGCTTTGGGCCTGGCAGCTGGTAGAATTACACCTAGGCAGGGCCTAAATGCACTCCCTGGGTCTCTAAAACTTTTGGGAGACTATACGCAGAGGCTATTTGAGGTTTTTAAAAAATTAATGGGTTTAACACAAGTCCTACATGATGTATTTCAAGAATTTCTCCACCATGCAATATGGTTGGAAAGATGGGCTGGTACTTCTTTATCTGCTTTAGAGTCTTGCTTTTTCTGTTTTGGGGACATTTTAATGCAGTACTGTCCAATACAGTAGCCACTAGCCACATGTGGCTATTAGCATTTGAAATGTGGGAAGTGTAACTGAGAAACTAAATTTTTAAATTTAAATAACTACATGTGGCTAGTGGCGTGGACAGCACAGGTATAGAACATTTCCATCATCTCAGAAAGTTCTGTTGTACAGTGTTGTTCTGAGGATTTTCAAGCCCATTTTATTCCAGTCCCTCAGAATTCACTTTTCATTTTAACTTAAAATTTGATTTAATTTTGGGTACAGGATGGCTGAATGGAGGCAAAAACTCCAGAGAGGGTTAATTTTATAAGTCTGGGTAAATGGATCTTGTGCAGCCCCACAGGACACCCTGACCCCCTGGTCTCTCCACATGTGCATCCGTCCTGGCACAGGCCCTCCCTCCTGTGTGTTCTATCACCATACCTGGGGCAGGATCTCCTGGGCCAGTGCTAGTGCCCGGTGGTAGGCAGCGTTGCCCTCTTCATTTTGGGCCACGGCATGGTTCACCAGCCCCAGGACCTGAGCCTGCGCCCCATTCAGTCGTCGGCCTGTGAAGATGAGCTCCTTTGCCAGGGCCACCCCCAGGCATCGAGGCAGCCTCTGAGTCCCTCCTGCCAGGATAGAGTCAGCATGGTGAATCCACACAGGAAATAGGAGCCCAGAGAAGGCCCAGCCTGGGTGTTAGCCAAGACTTCTCAGAGGAGCAGATTCTGAGTTAGGCTGGAAAGACGTAGCCCAGAACACATGGCAAAAGAGGAAAGCAGGGAGGTACCCTGGGTAGAGTGGAATTGAGCAGGTAGAGAAGGAGGGGTGCTGTGGGTGAGGTTACCTGCTCCTGGGAGGAGCCCTCGGGTGGTCTCGATCAGCCCCATGATAGCCGAGGAAGCTGCTTAAACAAAACAGAGTGAAGCCCTGACCCCGTCCTCCAATGCCAATCCCCGGGGAGAAGAGACACCCGCCTCTGGGCTGTGCTTAACCCTCCAGCCAACCACTTCCCTCATGGTCTGGCCACCACCAGACCTCTCCAGACTCTGCTTTTGGAAGATCCCTAGCCTGGAAGTCAGAAGGCCCGGGCCCTCATCCTACCTCCCCTACTGGTGGAGGTGTGCATCACCAGGCAAGGCTCTTATCCTTTCTGAGCCTCACAGGTGGTAAAAATGATTACTCTTCTTCTGCCTGCTTCAGAGAGCTGCTAAGGATTAAGTGAAGTAATGGTTCCTGGAACAAGGAAGGGGTTCCTGGAAGGTTCCCAATCCCTATTTGTGGGTTAATGGATTCTCTGTATCATGCACCCCTAGCTCTGGCCGGGCCTAGAGTGTCAATGACTTCTGCTCCCGCCACAGTTATTCCTCCCAGCTTTTCGTCAGCCTGAAATTTCCCTATGTTCCAGTCCACATCTTCCTTCCGAGTTCTACTTCCTCCTTGAGTTCCCACCCCACAGGCTTCTCTCCTCAATTTCCTCAGCACAGGCCATCTGAGCCATGCGGTGTGGGCAGGAGTGAACAGCCATTACTCCTGCCAATGATGGGTTTTACAGTCACTCTGTCCCATCCACCAAAACCCTGCAAGTTGGTTACCCTAAACAGGGGCAGGTGAGAAGCAGAGTTGGGGCTATGGCCTGACCCCTGACCTGGTATTTTGATGCTTTCTGTTTGATATGCACTGTGTAGATATAAGTGACCTCTTTGCTTGGATTTACACTTTTCTTTTTTTTTTTTTTGTTAGGAAGATGGGCCCTGAGCTAACACCTGCCAATCCTCCCTTTTTTCGCTGAGGAAGACTGGCCCTGGGCCAACATCCATGCCCATCTTCCTCTACCCTATATGGGATGCCGTCACAGCATGACTCGACAAGCGGTGCGTCGGTGCGCGCCTGGGATCTGAACCAGCGAACCCCGGGCTGCTGTAGCGGAGCGCGCGCACTTAACCGCTTGCGCCACTGGGCCAGCCCCGGATTTACACATTTTTAAATGTTCTTCTTGGGATGGCAGGAGAAAGCAGTGAAGGGATCAGAGTAGCACCATGATGGCACTCAGACTCTTTGTAACTGCCTCCAGGAAGGGCACACCTAACCTGGAACAAGGTTAGGTTAGTAAGGTTAAAAAGTGGTCAATTATCTTCCTCGCCTCCCTCCACTCTTCAAAGCTCAGTTGCTCTGAACAAGTAATGCAGACCTTGGCTGGTGCCAGTGACTCAGAGGACAATGTTCCTGCCTGAGCATGTTTGTGTTTAGCTGGGCCGGTGCCAGACTGCCCCTGCAGCTCCCCTTTGTTCAAAACATGATAGATAAACCTGGCTTGGACAGAACTGGAAGGTTGCACGTTAATCTTTGCCCTCCTCAGCCTTCTCTCTCTGTGTGCTCTTTGCTCTCCTGTCAGCACTTGCTCTAGGGTTGGGAGAAGCATTCCCGAGATGAGGGAAGCTGGTTCTGAGAGGTGATGGATGGGTACTACAGCAGTGGGTGGCTGGACCAGGAGGGGAACCAGCATCCGCCTGAACTCCCTCTGTGTACTCCTCCTTGCCTTTAATTCTGCTGTTGAACTAAACCAAGAAAGCCAAGGGCAGTGGCTGTCTTTGCAGAATCCCCAGACTTAACCCTGTTTCATTCACCCTTCCCTCCCCACCCTGTCCCTCCTTTCCCCCTGCCCAGTACCTGCCACTCGGAGGTCACAGGCCAGGGCAAGTTCCAGGCCTCCACCCAAGGCAAACCCATCCATAGCTGCAATGGTGGGTGCAGGGAAGGCTGCTGTGGAGATGAAGAAGGGCTCAGCCTGCAAGGCCCTGGCAGGACCAGGACAAGGACTCTAGGTTGGAGAGGGGCTAGCTGGTTGGGACAGAGGGCGTCATTGGTCCCAAGTTTGGGGACCTCACCTGGTACCTCAGCTGGGTTATCTTAGAAGTCACTTTTCCCATCCAGGAAAGTTGCGGGATCAGTTGGGGAACCAGAGTGGGGAGATGGGCTGGATGATCCCTGCTCAGGCCCACTTTCCTGCTCTCTTCCCTGGGACTGGCCTTTCTGTTCTCCCTTCTCGTTCTATGTGCCAAGCCCTGTGGTGGGTGCTGGGAACACAGAATTGAATCGGACATGGGGAAGGCACACCTGTAAACAGGCAGTGATGACCCAGGGTGATCAGTGCTCTGATAAAGGAAGCTAGGACGATGGGTCAGGAAAGGCTTCCTGGAGGAGGCGGCACTGGTGGTCTTAAAGGATCTTTGAGTAAAAAGTTCAAGCGGCCAAGGAGGGATATTCCAGGCAAAAGGAATAGCAATTGTCAAAGCCTGAAAGCATGCTTCGTGAAACTTGACTCCTCTGGAATGGCCAGGCTTGAACCTTGAGGGCACGGGAGTAGGGGGTCAGTACGAGAAGGGCGCAAAGGCTGAAGAGCCAGAGCTCCCTGCTGGAGAAATGCCCTCTGAACTCTTGTCACCCTCCTCTTTGTAGAATCCTTGTGCCCATCCCCCCTGGGAGAGTCATCTGTCTCTCACAGAGCTCACAATAAAAACCGTCCTCTCTTAGAGTAGAGGATGGTGGGCATAGTGGGGGATCAGCAGGGCCCCTGAATGCCCTCCTATGCCCCACTCCAGGACCCTCACCAATCTCATTCATCATGCCTCGGAGCCGCTGGACAAAGAACTCCACCTCTGCCTCGCTCATTTGCTCCCGCTCCTTCAGGTCCGCACCTGCAGATGGTGAGGGGTTGGTGACAGCTCTTGGGAAACGACCCCTTACTGAATCCCGGGCTGTTAAAGGATCCAGCAAAGGAGACGTGAGGAGAAGCAGTCGGGAAGGAGAAACACTAGGAAAGCATGGTCAAGGAAACCAGGGAGGAGAAGGGAAGGTGGGGGTCAAGAAAAAGAGAGGTGCAATCATGACAATGAAAGGATAAATGGGACATCATCAAAATTAAAGACTTTTGTGCATGAAAGGACACTGTCAAGAGAGTGAAAGGACAACCCACAGAATGGAAGAAAATATTGGCAAATCACACATCTGATAAGGGATTAATATCTAGGATGTATACAAACCTCCTACAATTCAACAGAAAAACCTGCAAAGGACAAAGGACTTGAGTAGACACTTCTCCAAAGAAGATACACAGATGACCAATAAGCACATGAAAAAGGGCCATCATCATTAGTCATTAGGAAACTGGACATCACACCCACAATGAGATACCACTTCACACCCATTAGGATGGCTATTAACAAACAACAACAATAAAAAAAAAGTGTGTCATGGAGGTGGAGAATCCTGGTGCATTGCTGGTGGGAATGTAAAATAATGCAGCTGCTGTGGAAACCATTTGGTGATTCCTCAAAAAGTTAAATGCAGAATTAGTATATGAGCCAGCAATTCCACTCCTAAGTATATACCCCAAAGAATTGACGGCAAGGACTCAAAACAGATACTTCACACCAATGTTCCTAGCAGCATTATTCACAATAGCCAAAAGATGTAAACAATCCAGTGTCCATCTACAGATGGATGGATAAACAAAATGTGTGTGTATATATATATACACACACACACACACACAATGGAATATTATTCAGCCATGAAAAGGAATGAAATTCTGATACATGCTGCAACATGGATGAACCTTCAGGACATCATGCTATGTGAAATAAGCCAGACACAAAAGGACAAATGAATGATTCCACTTGTATGAGGTACCTAGAATAGGCAAATTCATGGAGATAGAAAGCAAAACAGAGGTTACCAGGGCCTGGGGGGGGAGGAAAAAGGGGAGGAGTTGCTTAATGGGTACAGAGTTTGGGATGGTGAAAAATTTCTGGCAACGGACAGTGGTGATAGTTACATAACCTTGGGAATATACTTAATGCCACTGAATTTTACACTTAAAAATCATTAAAATGTAAATTTTGTGAAATGTATATATTTACCGTAGTTTTTAAAATATATAAAATAAAAAAATTTATTTTTTCTAGTTTTATTGAGAAATAATTGACATACATCACTGTATAATTGATTATTTTTTAAAAGGTTGGGTCCTTGGGGTCCAAGGAGGCTGAGAGGTCAAGTAAGATGAGAGCTGAGAAGCAAGCGCAGGATACAGTTGCGTGGAGGTGGGCACGGACCTTGGTGAGAGTAGTGACCATGGTGGAGTCATCGAGGCCAGATGGCAGGGGGCTGAGGAGGGAGTAGGGGTGAATATAGTCTCTTCAAGTCTTAGACTATAGGAAGTCAAATCTGGGAGAGCCCTTGGAAGTCTTTGATTAGTTCTAGTCCTTCAGTGACAGATGGGGAAACTGAGGCCCAGAGAAGGGCAGGCAGTAACCCAGGATTCCAGAGCAAGTCAAGGGCAGACCCAGACCTCCTGTAGACCCCTTACTTCCCCCTGCTTGGCTGGGAGAGTGAGGAGTGGAGCTAACAGAGGGCCTGAAGTGACCTTTATCGAGAGGTCAGATAGAAATGGAGCCAAAGGAAGAGGCTAGGGCAGGGTGAGGGCCTCAGCCAGGGCAGCTGGGTCAGGCAGACCTCAAGCTGGGCACTGTGATCCCAACAGCTCAGACCTCGAGACTGAGCCACATCCCTTTGACAACTCCTGAAAATCACGCTTCTCATCCTATCCCTCCACGACCTCTTCCCGCCTCCCCAGTGACCCCTGTTGCCCCTCCCCAGCCACCCCAGAGTTGGTTCTTAGCTCAGCTCAGCTCAGCTCTTGTTGACTTGCTTCTTTTTGTGGGCCTGGGATTTGGTATTTCTCATCTTTGAAACGGAAATTCATGGTGCATATCCTGTTGTGAGGACCAAATGGTGCAGGGACAGTGGGGAGCTTTGGTGAGAGGGCCTGAGATGGGGGGGGTGCAAAGGGGCACAGAGTCCCATTTTGGCCGCTGACCATGTGCACAGCTTTAGACTCAGTTTCCTCATTTCCTCAATGAAGAGTCGGAACAGAGCATAGTGTAGCAGAAAGAACAAGGATTTGGGGGTCAGAGAGGCCAAGTTCAAATTGAATTCTATTCTACCTCTTAACTAGCTGTGTAACCCTTGGCAAGGAATTTTACCTCTGAGTCTTTGAGTTCACATCTGTAAAATGGGAATAATGAGTCCTATGCTAGAGCTAACCTAAGTTCTCCCCTAACCTCTGCCGGCTGGTGGGAGCCCTGCTGAGCCCCGGTGTAGGTGCAGGGGAGGAAACCCACCTGCACAGAACACACCCTTCACACCACTTCTGAAGAGCAGGACGCGCACTTGCCGGTCCTCCCGCAGCTGGGCCAGAGCTTCCAGCAGCTGCAGAGGAGACCCGGTCAGATACAGCCCAGCCCAGCCCAGCCCAATCCCAGCCCACCCACCTAGTGCCTGCCTTTCTCACCTCGCTGACGAAGACGTTCCCCAGGGCATTGCGGGCACGCGGTCTGTTCATCAGAATCTCAGTGATTCCTGCAGGGGACAAGGCAGCCTTGGGTGAGCAAGCTGGCCTGCTCACTTCTGGGCTGGGGCCTGGAGGCAGGAGGCCTGAGTTCTGGGCAGCCTCTAGCCTTGGTGAGCAGTGTGACTTGGGGCAAGTCACACACACCCAGGCCTCAGTTTTCTCAGCCATAAAATAGAATAAATAACCCTTGCCCTTCCTGTCTCAAAGAAGAAGTGGCAGGGCTATGAACCATGGAGCAACATGAGGAGGGACAAGAATGCCCACCGCAGTTGTTCCCGCGTGCTTCTGCCGTTGTTCGACACACACACATTCAATGTCATGGCTCCCTCCGTTATTCTTCCCTTCATAGCCAGACTTCTTCCTCTCGAGTTTAATGAGTTATATAGATATAAAAGGCCAACACCCTCATAACCACCACATGGAAATCTCACATGCTCTGACTCAATCATAGCTCCCTCTTCCCCCGCAAAGTAACAACTCTCCTGACTTTTATAGTAATCATTTCCATGCATTTCTTTACAATTTCATCATTCAAATGTGAATCCCTAGACATATAGTTTAGACTTGCTAATTTTAAAAAATTTGATGTGTCTTTTAAAAGCTTGTTAAAATCCCCAGGTTCTGCCTTTAGCAGTGTCTTTCCCTCAAAACTTACTTATTAAGGAGCCTGGGCCATTTGACCTGTAGGGTTTCCTGCAGCCTGGATTTTGCGCATTCATGGGGCAAGTCAGCCAGGTTCCTCTGTCATAGGAATTTAGCAACTAAATCCAGAGGCTTGATCACACTCGTGTTCTGTACCCTTTGGCAAGAGGATAACGCTTGCCCTCCTGCGTGATGTTCTTTCACCAGCAACAGCCAAGCTTTTTGTTTTTTTTTGTGAGGAAGATCAGCCCTGAGCTAACATCCATGCCAATCCTCCTCTTTTTGTGAGAAAGACTGGCCCTGGGCTAACATCCATGCCCATCTTCCTCTACTTTATATGGGACGCCCCACAGCGTGGCCTGACAAGGCAGTGCACCGGTGCATGCCTGGGATCCGAACCCGGGCCGCCAGTGGTGCCCGGGATCCAAACCCGGGCCGCCAGTAGCGGAGCGTGCGCACTTAACCACTATGCCACGGGGCTGGCCCCCAGCCAAGCTTCTTGAAAGGGTTTTCTGTACTCATTAAATCACTTTCTTGGGGCCGGCCCCATGGTGGTGTAGGGGTTAAGCGTGTGCGCTCTGCTACTGGCGGCCTGGGTTCAGATCCTGGGCGTGCACCGACACACCACTTGTCAGGCATGCTGTGGTGGCATGCCACATAAAAAAGTAGAGGAAGATGGGCACGGATGTTAGCCCAGGGCCAGTCTTCCTCAGCAAAAAGGGGAGGATTGGCATGGGTATTAGCTCATGGCTAATCTTCCTCACCAAAAAAAAAAAAAAAAAAGTACCTTAAAAAAAAATAAATCACTTTCTTGCCTTCCATTAACTTAAACCTTCTCCAGTCTAGCTCCCACCTCCATCACTCAGTGGAAACTGTTCTCACCAAAGTGCCCAACGCAACCACATCACTAACCAAGGAACATGTTTCCATCCAGGTCCTAGCCTCAGAAACAATCAACTGTGCTAACCATACACATGCTCCTCTTTGGACATACTCTGCCTTGGGTTTTTTTTTTTTAATAGACAGTTTCCTTTAGAGCAATTTTAGGTTCACAGCAAAATTGAGCAGAAAGTACAGAGATTTACCATATGCTCTCCTGCCACCCCCCACCCCATGCATAGCCTCCCCTGCTATCAACATCAGGCACCAGAGTGGTACATTTATTACAATAGATAAACCTACACAGATATGTCATTATCACCCAATGTCCATAGTTTACATGGGTTCTCTCTCAGTGTTGTACATTTGATGAGTTTTGACAAATGTATAATAACATGTATCTGCCTTGTGGCCCCACGTTCTCCTGGCCTGCCTCCTACCTCTCAGGTGATACCTCTGCACTTCTTTTTTAGGTTTTCTTCTACCTGTTTTTTAAAATTCTTAATTAATTTATTCAACACATATCTATAATAAGTCCTTGGGATGTAATGTACAGCATGGTGACTACAGTTAATAATACTGTTTTGTATATTTGAAAGTTGAGAGAGTAGATCTTAAAAGTCCTCATCACAAGGAAAAAAATTTGTAACTTTCTGTGGTGATGGATTTAACTATTAACTAGACTTATTGTGGTGATCATTTTGCAATATATACAGTTATTGAATCATTATGTTGTATACCTGAAACTAATATAATGTTATATGTCAATTATACCTCAATAAAAAAAAAACCAACTCTTACAAAAGTAAGATAACACAAAAGAAGATATACAAATGGCCAATAAGCACATAAAAGATGTTTAATTTTAGTATCAAATAAATGAGAGTTCTAGAAAAGCATAATGAGATATGACCACACACCCAGTACAATGGCTAAAACTAAAAAGACTGAAAATAAAAACCAAGTGTTGGTGATGAAAAAAAACCCCAAAACCCTACATATCTATTGAACAGCTCCAATATATAATAAACCGTGGGAGTTACAAGTTATGTAACAGTGCTTGCCCTCAAGGTGCTACAGCCTAATACAGGTAAATTATAATATGAGGCCATGGGTAAGGTAAGTACATAAAGTACTGTAATAGGATTACAGATGGCAGTTCATAGGTGGAAGCATTTGAGCAAAGTAAGAATAGGTGAAAATTTTCATTTGAGGGATGAGGTGTGGTGGGAAAAATACTACAGGTAAGGGACTACCCAGGTTTTTAATGTCACAGTTCTTTTTTTTTTTTATGAGAAAGATCAGCCCTGAGCTAACATCCATGCTAATCCTCCTTTTTTTGCTGAGGAAGACTGGCCCTGGGCTAACATCTGTGCCCATCTTCCTCTACTTTATATGGGACACCTCCACAGCATGGCTTGACAAGTGGTGCGTCGGTGCGCGCCCGGGATCTGAACCCTGGGCCGCCAGCAGCGGAGCGCGTGCACTTAACCGCTACACCATGGGGCCGGCCCCTAATGTCAAAGTTCTTGAAAGCTCAATCCAGTATCTCTTTATTCAATCATTTGTACAATTATGTATTTAACACATGCTGGCCTCTGTACTAGACACTGTGATTCCAGAGACCAGGGCAGACCCAGTCGCTGTCCTCTCGGAACCTACAGTCTAGCAGAGAAGACAGAGATTCAACAAATAATTACTGTTTGTGATGAGAGCACAGAAAACAAGGACAAGGAGGTGGGAGGTATAGAATGGGCAGAGGGGAACCCTAGTGGAGAAGGTCAGCGATGACTTCTTGGAGGGGGAAGTGAGTGACCTTTAAGCTAGGAGCTGCAGGATAGAGGGAGCACGGGTGAGGGCCCTGAGTGTGGTAGAGCAGGGGACTGTAGGAAGGATTCTACAAAATACAAAATTTGTAGAACTGGGCCTCTTAGGGTTTTTCGGCTGGACTTGAGAATTAAACTGATATCAAGCAGATTAACAGGAGAAGAGCATACAAATTTATATAAGTTTTATGTGACATTGTAGCCCTCCTAAGGAGATGAAGACCCCCCAGAAATGGTAGAACCTACATGCTTTTATAGTAGGTTGATCAAGAGAGGCAATTGTGGAAAACTAAACTATGTGGGGAGGCTAAAGGAAGATAAGAATTATTTGAACAAGCTCTGTTTGTACAGAATTCTCTTGACTTGGATTGCCTCTCAAAGAATGTTTCTTTTCTCCTGGTACGGGGAGGGCGTCTTTCACATGGGAGTTTTTATCCTCTATTTTCAGGAATAAAAGGGGAGATTAGAATGCCCTTCTTGTATCTGCTGTTTTTTCAAGCGCCTTTAGCTCAAAATAATCCTTATGCCAAAATGGTATATTTTGAGGGGACATATTCTGCCACCTTTCAGTGTCTTCCAGAACTGGAGGAGTTCACAGCAAAGGCAGAGTGGAGTGAGGTGAAGCAGGAGAGTCAGGAGGGCCTGCACTTGCTCGGCTGTCCCTTCTCCTCCTCCCGTGTCTCCCGTGTGTTTGCCTCCTGTATACCTACGACTGCCCTGCATACCTGGCCAGCCCAGAACTCTCCTCTGCGCTCCAAGCCTGAATATCCAGCCACACACTTGACTTCTCAACCAACGTGTCCGAAGATGACCAGTCTTTCTCCTGCTCCCTTGGTGAGTGAATGACTTATCGACCCAGAAGTCCGTCCTGTTGCCTCCCTCTTCCTCACCCTTGAAATTTACTCAGTCTCTGAGGCCTGCCAATTCAACTCTTAAATAGATCTCAGATTTTCAGCTCACATTCCTCCTTGCAGCCACTAACCTGGTGCTGGCTCTTTCCTCTATTACGTGGATCACCCAACTGGCCCTCTTGCCCTCAGTCTTGTTCCCCCTCCTCCCTCCACATTCATTCCTTCATTTGGGTCAGAGTCATCTTTCTAACCCAAATCCTACCATGTCTCTCCTCTCCCCTTTTCATCAAAATAAAGTCTAATCCTTAATACCACCCACAAAGCCCTCCACAATCTGACCCTTACACTCCACTCTGGCCTCAACTCACTCCCCTAATCTGGGCCAGGTATTAGGGAAGAGAGACTGGCTCTGGGCAGGGGCTCGAATACTTTTATCCCTTCTCAGCCATTTCCCCTCCTGTAAAATGTCGGGGATGGACTAGAATAGTATTTACCAATCCTTTTGCCTTCAAAGGCCCGTTATTATTTTCTCCCAGAGTTCTCAGCTTTGTCTGTGGAACAAGCAGTATTTATTAAGATGGTATTCTCAGTGTGAGTTGATCTGTGACACAGAGAAGGGCCAATGAAATTTCAGGGCTCTCAAGGGACAGAGTTTTCAATCAGGAATTAGAGAACTGTGGTCCAGGACAGAGAACTGTAACATTCAGGCTAGGTGGGCTTCCTTAGCCTCCCCAGAAACCTTTAAAGAGCTCTTTGAGCCCAGCAGGTCTAGAAGTCCCACAGAGGAACTCAGATGTCCCCAAGGTCTTCTCCAGCTCTGGTGCTCCAGAAGAGAAAATGCTACAACTTTGGGGAAGGGAACCTGGTAGATGGAAGCCTCATCAGAGGGGTTGAGGAAAACAGTCTAGGCCCTAGGTCACTGTGGCAGACAGACTCTGGAGTGGCCCCCATGTTCACATGCTGAATAATCCTCTTACCTTGAGTGTGGGCAGGACCTGTGAATTGCTTCTAACCAACAGAATACAGATAAGGTTGTAAAATGTCACTTCCAAAATAAGGTTCAATTCTATGGCAAAGGTGATGAGGTGTGACCTCTGTGATTAGGTTATGATGTACATAAGACTCTGTCTTGCCAGCACAAACTAGAGAAACTAGTGGACCTATGGAGAGGGTCATGTGGCAAGAATCTGTGGGCAGCCTAGCTTGTAGGCGTTGAGAGCGGCCTGGCCAACAGTCAGCAAGAAAAGAGGACTTCAGTCCTGCAAACACAGGAGGTGAATTCTGTCAGTAACATGAGGAACTTGGAAGCAGATCTTTCCCCAGTCAGGCCTATGATGAGACCACAGCCCCAGCCAACTCCTTGATTGCAGCCTGGTAAGACCCTGAAGCCGAGAACCCAGCTAAGTTGGGCCTGGACTTCTGACCTACAGAAACTATGAGACAATCAATGTGTGTTATTTTAAACAACAAAGTTTGTGGTAATTTCTTATGTGGCAATAGAAAACTAATACAGTCATGATGTCTGTGATTGACAGAAACTTTCTTCTCTCGTCTTTGCTTTCCTGTTCTGTCTTGCCTTTCTCTCTGGCTAATTCTCTCCTATCTTTCATCTTTATCTCCTCTCTCCATCTTTATCTCCCTCTCAGAATACTAGCTGCCAAATCTTAAGGTGCTTGGCTCCAACCACAGCTCTGCCACACACCAGCTCCATGGCCTTGGGCAAATATTTACCCTTCTGCCCTTCAATTTCCTGATCAGTAAATAGAAATAAGAAGAAGGTTGTTATGAGGATTAAAAGAGATAACGCACATAAGTGCTTAGCCAGAGTTTGTGGGTACAGTGAACAGGGAGAATGCACAGATGCTGGGGAAAGTCTAGGACCCACAAGGTATGAACTCCAAGCTGGGAGCCCTGAGGAGCCAGGCAGGCTGTCTTTGGCTTTCATTCATTCATCTGACACTATTCAATTTGCACTACCACATGCCAGGCCCTGGAGAAATAGAAAGGGTTCAGCCATGGTCTCTGACTTTTTAGTTGAGCCCTGATTCTGGGAACATTGCCCTTTCTGGGCCCCAGCAGTGGGGATGGGTCTGCACTGCAACCTCCTCCTCTTACCAAACCCACCATGCCACTGGCTGATGATTTCCTTAGCAGCTGTCCTAGGGTGACTTCTGTTTGCATGGCCTGGATCACAGGCTAGGTGATGTGGGTGGGAGTCAACAGAAACCACTGGAAGGTAATAAGGAGACCAACCAGTTTAACAACCTCTTACCATATAGAAGGGAAACTGTGGCCCGGAAAAGAAGAGAATTTGCCTAAGTTAACAGCTGAACCCAGCTAGCAGTCCTCACTCTCAAAGAGCTAACAACCCATGAGGGAGACAAGTCCAGACACATTGAAAGTAAAGGGACAGTGGGGAATGGTAATTCCAGGAGGATTTCCATAGACAGGAAAGGAGGCGACCCAAGTTGGGCATAGCTAGAACAAAACACAGAGCTGGGGCAGCTTAAAATGAACCCATTGGTAGAAGAGAGAAAATGGAAAGGTTGGGTTGTGGTGGAGAGCCTTGAATGCCCTGCCAAGGAGTGGAGTCAAGCCATAAAGAAGAATGAAGACTGGTTAACAAGCCAATCCCATTTTCAAGGGCAACTGGTAAAATGTGACAGTGCTCTGGTGCCATCAGCCCAAGTGGAAGGCAGAACCTGTGGCTTCGAACATGAACATCAAATGACCCCAAAGCATTTGGGGGGTCGGGGTGGGGTGTGGTCCTCGTGTGGGAGTCTCTTGGCGTACAGGCGTAATCTGTTGATCCTTGTTACTTCTGGATAAAACTTTCCACTATTTGCAAGGGAGCCTTAAGGTCTATGACCTATGATAATTTTTTTTAACTGATGTACAAGTCTGTGTTATGAGTCAATGAATTATCAGAAGAGACAGTGATAACCTAATAGTTGAGAACACAGGTTTTGAAATCAGACCTTGGTTCAAATTGCATAACTTCTCTGTGCCTCAGTTTCTTAATTTGTAAAGTGGGGAGAATAATTATAACTATCTCAAGACAAGTGCTGTTGCCAGTTTGGCAATGAACTAAGCATGAGAGTAAGGGGAATTCTCTAAGACCCAGCAATCCCACATGGCCAGAGAAATTCTCACCAAGTGATGTAGTGGGACGCTGGCAGCCCCTACACATCCATCAAAAGTGGGGATGCACATTAGAGAATAGTATGCAACAGCAGGGAGCAAGGAACTAGATTTCTATGGCAAAGCAGCTCTTCAAAATTTAGTATGAAGTGGGAAAAAAGGAAGAAATAGGAGATGTATGGACTGCCATCTGTGTAAATTAAAACTCGGACACAAAGGAAGCTACATCAAGCGCAGAGACGGGTTCGGATTGGGGAGAAATTAAAGACAAAAGAAGGGCTTTGCCACAATGGCAACGCGCTGCGGACTGAGGAGCGTGAGGAACCCCATCGAATGCACTTGAAGTCCCAGAAGAACCCAGCAACACAATGCGCAATCGAAGGTGTTTTCTGCTAGTGACCAGTGCGAACTTTACCCTTTGAGTCAGCGGGACGCAAAAGTCAGCCAGAAGCCGCAGGGCCAGCGCTCCGGGAGGAGGCTCCCCTCCCACCTCTCCTCCCCTCCATCGCAGCCCTGCACGGCGAGCCGGATTGGCTCCGCCGCCTCGGCCCCCTGGAACTTTTCCCTCTTGGCCCAAGAGGCCTTTTAAAGCTCCTGTTGGGGGATGGGAGGCGCTAGTACCTAGTCCTGCCCCTGAGCAACTCTTCTCCCCTTCCTCAGAGCCCCAGACCACCGAATAGGGGACTGAAGGGACCAATATTGACACAGAGTCCCACCCCAACAAGGGTCGGAGTGGCCAGTAGGTGGTCACCCACCTTTCGGGCCTTAAGGAGGCTTGGAGAGCCTAGACTGGGATGCAGGAGATTTGGGATCAAATCCTCAAGCGCACTGAGCGACCCGCTTTCCCGGTGCTGGTCTCAGTCTTTCCGCGTGCAATGGGCGCGCTGGCCCTGGCGGCGGCGCCAGGCGTACCCTGCTCAGCGCGGCCCGGGTGCGTCCCAGCGCTTCCTGGGCGCACTTACCTTGCTCCGGACCCGTCAGGGAGCGCACTTGGATCTCCCAGTCCCCGGCCGCCCCGTCGGAGGCGCAGCCGCGGGTCCGAAGGGGCTTCCAGGGCCGTGGAAGGCGCAGGACACTGGTCAGGGCGCGCAGCATCGGGGCGCGGGCTGGGAAGGTGCCGATCGGCCCCTTCGCCGCCTCCTCTCCGGCTGGAAGTTCGCTGCTCGGCCGCGAGGCCTTCGCAAACTGCTCCACCTATGGGCCGACAGGCCACGCCGCTCTCTGCCCCTGTTGGAGACCGGGAGACCTGGGTAGAGGAAAGCCCAGCTCTGCTGTGTGGTTTGGACAAGACTGTCAACCTCTCTAAGCGTCAATGCTTTAATCTGTAAAGCAGGGATAATAGTAGTGACTACTGCCAACGATAAAGAAAGCTGGACCTAAACTCCACTTGGATTTGTACAGAGGTGACTGGGAGTTTTAAAGGGAGAGAGGGGATAGGGAGGTGGGTGAGCGGGGACTGTATAGAGTCAAGGGAAGTGAAACATTCCAAAAGGCAGGAAGGAGGCGGGGTCAGTCCATCTGAAACCCATCTGGGTTTGCTAACTGGTGCTTATCCAAGCTTAGGCTCCCACAGAGACGGGCAGGTCTCAGCCAGGTGTTGGCTGGAACAGACAGTCAACTCTTTTGGCAGCCTGGAGTTTTCTCAGGTAGGCACTTTAAGTGGGACTAGGGTCATCCTAGGGATGTGCCCTTGAGCTGTTAGAAAATATGTTAGTGTTTCAGTCTTTATAGGCCAAGGCGGAGGCCTAGTGAAGAGGGTTCAGAGGAGCCTGGCTAGAGTTTGGTGGAGAGAATCTTTGTCACTATGTCATGGTGGTATTATAACAATTGAATGGGGTGTGTGAACCTTGCTTACATGTATGCTCAATAAATGTTATGTCATTTTTAAAATGTCATTTCGTTCATTCTAGCATTGTCTACATTCATGGACTTCACTGCCTCACCTCCCATTTGCACCTCAACTCATCCCAATTTTATACTCAATGATTGCAAAAATATTTGTGAATGTGAATCCCTAGCTTCTGCCCCCACTGTCCACCCAAACTGCTTTTGTAGAGGTCATCGGTGGCCTTCTTTAGTTCATTCTGGGTGGATCAATAAAGAGTGTTCAGTGAATGCAGTCCCCTCCCCCACCTTCCACTTGCTGTAGACCCCAAAGCCACTAATGATCCTGGCCTACAACCAATGGCTGCAGTGTTAGGCAATCTAGAAATAAAATTCTCTCTTTTTGAAGTTGCTGGTGCTTGGTGGGGTCATCACTATGTCCATTAAGATTTGAAAAAAAATGGGCTCTAGGGGCTGGCCCAGTGGCAAAGTGGTTAAGTTCATGTGCTCCGCTGTGGCGGCCTGGGGTTCGAAGGTTTGGATCCCGGGCGTGGACCTACGCACCGCTCATTAAGTCATGCTGTGGTGGGCCGGCCCCGTGTCTTAGCCGTTAAGTGCGCTCGCTCCACTACTGGCAGCCCGGGTTCGGATCCCGGGCGTGCATTGACGCACCGCTTCTCCGGCCATGCTGAGGCCGCGTCCCACATACAGCAACTAGAAGGATGTGCAACTATGACATACAAGTATCTATTGGGGCTTTGGGGGGGAAATAAATAAATAAAAATTATTAAAAAAAAAAAAAGTCATGCTGTGGTGGCATCCCATATACAAAATAGAGGAAGATTGGCACAGGTGTTAGCTCAGCGACAATCTTCCTCAAGCAAAAAGAGGAAGATTGGCAACAGGTGTTAGCTCAGGGCCAGTCTTACACACACACAAAAAGGCTCTAACTTGCTTCCTGGGTCTGGTGAGAAACTCTTAAGTTCCTCTCTGTGACCATCAAGATTAATTGGGGTTTATATCAATCCTGGTCATTTCTGACCCCTCACTGTTGCTTCCAATGAATTAATTCAGGTTATGGATCATCTGGCCATCCCTCCATGTCCCTTTTCTATTATATTACTGGACACAACTCCAATTCCTTCTCTCCTTAAAGAATCACAGAGACGAGACTGCATGAGAAAGACTTTTACAGAAGGTGGGAGAGCAACTGTAGACTTCACCTCTCATAGTTAAAGATACTAGTGCTAACTGTTATGGACTGAATTATGTCTCTCCAAAATTCATGTGTTGAAGTCCTACCTCCCAGTACCTCACAATGTGACTGTATTTGGAGATAGGGTCTTTAAAGAGGTAATTAAGTTAAAATGAAGTCATTAGGGTGGGCCCTAATCCAATATGACTGATGTCTTTATAAGAAGAGGAAATTTGGACACAGATGGGTATAGAAGATAGACCATGTGATGACAGAGGGAGAAGATGGCCATCTACAAGCCAATGAGAGAGGCCTCAGACAAAACCAACCCTGCCAATACCTTGATCTTGCACTTCTAGCCACCAGAAATGTGAAAAAGTAAATTTCTATTGTTTAAGCCACCCTGTCTATGATACTTTTTCATGGCAGCCCTAGCAAACTAATACACCAAATAAAGAAAGTTCTTTTCCTAAGAGGAAATCTAGTGTCTGGTTCTTAAGATAACAAGGTGCCTCCTCTCTTCTCTATATTATTATTGTTCCTGGGACTCCAAGGAAGCTTAGCAAAAGAGCAAGGGAGGTAGGACACAAGCAGCAGTAGTAACAATATGGCTATAGTTCATAAGAACATTTTTTCTCCTTTTTAATCCTGCTGGTTTTAAGCAGAAATAATCCCTCAGTAATCTCTGAACTATAATAGGAATTTGAAAAACCATTGTTTTAGTATAAAAGCAATAAATGTAGAGCACTCACATTGCTAATGGGAAAGTCTTTAATGGAGAGCAATTGGCAATATTTGTCAGAACTATAAATCATCTCCTCTTTGACGCCAAAATTCCAATTTTAGGAATTTAACCTACAGATATACCCACACAGATGTGAAATGACACATGTACAAGGTTATTCACTGCAGCATTGCTTATAATAGCAAAAGACTGGAAACAGTCTTTTTTTTTTTTTTAATTTTATTTATTTATTCATTTTTCCCCCAAAGCCCCAGTAAATAGTTGTATGTCATAGCTGCACATCCTTCTAGTTGCTGCATGTGGGACGCGGCCTCAGCATGGCCGGACAAGCGGTGTGTCGGCGCTTGTCCGGGATCCGAACCTGGGCCGCCAGCAGTGGAGTGCACGCACTTAACCACTAAGCCATGGGGCCGGCCTGGAAACAGTCTTAATATGCATCAGTAGGGGATTGGTTAAATAAGTTATGGTACATCCATACATTGAATACTATGCAGCCATGAAAAAGCATAGGAAGCTCTTTATGCACTGATATGATCTTCACAGTCTGTTGCAATATGAAAAAAACCAAGATGGCAGAATAATGTGTAAAGAAAACTAAAATTTGTGTTACAAAGGGGGATAGCATTACTTAGGTATGCATGTATATATTTGTTGGTATTTACATAAAATATTTCTGAAAGGATAGAGGAGAGGAATTGGGGAGCTAGGAATACAAGTGGGAGGGAGAATTTTTACAGTTTGACCTTTTGTACTTTTTGAATCTTGATTCATGTGTTCAATATTATCTACTCAAAAAATAATTAAAATGAAAACAAAACACAATGACAAAAATTAAAGACATGATATAGTAAAAATAAAACTAATACATACGCAAGGTCAAAACATTCAAACAGTACAGATGGATATAAAATTAAAAGAAAAACTACCGTTCTCCTGTGAAATGAATAAACAAAATCTCAACTAAATTCTAGTCAGGAAGGCCTATAGGGGGAGCTCTCATGCACTAATATACATCATCAATTGCTCCAAACAGGAAGACACCTACACTTGCATCTCCCACAGGAAGTACAACTACTTTACTACTGAAGGAAGATTTCTCTTCACATCTGGCAACAGCCCAGCCAATGAGAAACACCAGAGCTCAGCCAATGAGAAGCCATTACCACCCAGAACTGTTACTTTCCTCCAATGGACTTTCAAAAAAGTCCCTCCCTACTCCCTCTTTTGCTCTATGAAAGCAAGCCCCTTCTTTTGTCTCCTGGAATTTGCTGTAGCATGCACACCTCGATTGCAATTCTTTTGGCTATTCCTGAATAAACTTGTTTTGAGGGTAAAATAACTGGCAAATTTGCTTTTTAAGTTGACATATATGGTGTCAGAAGTGGGATCCAAAGGAGGTGACCCCCCTGAGAGACTGTGACCCCCAGAATCAGTTGAGGTACCCACACTGAGCCCTTATGCTCATTGCTTCTGTTGAGTTCCTGCCTGCTTTCCATTTGGTAAGTATCCTCTCAGATTCCAAGCTCTCCTTGCATTTTGAGCTCTCTGACTTTATTTGGGATTGGGAGAGCTTTTGTCTTCTTAGAGGAGGGACTTTGTCCTTCGCGGTTCAAGGCTCTGTCCTTAGGTTCAAGGCTTCATCCTTAGTGAGTACTCAGTTGTTATTTTCTGAAGCAGTAGTACAGTTCCTTTTGAAGCTCGGGCTTGCTGAAAATCTAGGAGTTATTTTTTGGTTTTCAGATTCCTTTTGGAATCAGGGCTGGGAATCCAGCAACTTGCTTTTGTTTTTAGATTCCTTTAGAAACTTCCTTGGGTTTTCAGAGGAAATTTCAGAAATAGGATCCCAGTCATCTAAATGTTCTAAGGGAAACCCTCCTTCAGGGACCCCGGCTGGCTTTATGTTTAAGAACTATGCGCATTTTTACGTGGGCCAAACTGACCAGGAGTAGTCCGGAATTACAGTGGCCATTATGGGGAACTTTCAATCTCCCCAAGCTCATTTTTCTTAAATCCAAGTTGGAAGATTGTGGCTCTAAAATTAAGCAAAACAAGTGATATGTTTATTTTAATTGGTACCTAGAAGTTTCTAAACATGTACAATACTCTGAAATTGCCTCACTACAAGATACCATGTCTAAATTAACTGAAACAATTAAAAAACTGAGGGAGAACAAGATGGCTTCTGGAGTCTCCTGTTCCCCTCCTCCTCCTTCTTTGGCTCAGGCACCATCTTGTTTGTCTTCCCGGGGTCCTTTTTCTCAGACTCCACCCCGGCAGCCGTTTTGTGTTCAGGCTCTGCCCCCAACCCCATCTTCTTTGCCATCTGCACCACCCCCAACTTTTCTGTATTCTCCACTTCCCCACTCTAATTCGTTTGCTGAACTTCCTTTCTCCTCTGAACCTACCTTCACCCTTCTTCTTCTGAA